GACCTGCCAAATCAGTCTTCTATTACAACCCATCTGCATGCACACCTATGTTTGAGAAGCAATGCTGTAAGAACAGGGAGATCAGTTTTAACCTAGTGTAAAATTAGTCTCTAGACCCAGACACACATCAACTTTACTGCCCTTCTAACACTTTCTAATGACAAGCTTTTGGTATAGTTTTTGGGACAATGCTCTGTGTATCCATTACACTGTCAGCGAATCTCAACACTGGATGTAGATTCTTATTTCTCTTTGTAGCATGCAGGTGTGACTGAAAAGGGTTTTTCAACTTGGAGTAGCTCCTAATCTTGGATGCACACAAGGAACTTAAAACGCCACTCCAGGGCCTGATCCGGAGGAGTAAGTCAGAAGGGGAGCGAGAGGAGGGCTAGAATCTTGTGCTGTTGGGCATCTAGGGTTGAAAGTGACTCCCGAGTTTCAGCCTCATACTGGTTTTATCAAATATGCAAGCTACACACTTCCTATCCCGACTTCCAGAAGGCTCGCACACAAAAAGTGCCACAAGGGAAAAATTACGACAGACTCTAGCAAGTTGTTTTCCCCGTGTGTACTGTCTTTAGCCTTCCCAAGAAAGTGACCACAGTACACCATCATCACTGCTGACTGGGACCGCAGTAGGCGCTCTACTCGATCTCTCCCATCTAAACTTCATTGTCACTCCGCTAGGATAAGAGCTGGTGCCCAATTTTGTTGTTCAGTCGCGACTTGGTCAAAGTTCTCTGCTCTAATCATAAGACACTCGGCCTCGCGGCAAAAATCAAATAAAACCCGTCCAGCAGCAGGGCTAGCCGCGTACCCCGAATCACCCCAGAGGCTGCTTGCAGCCCCTCCCCCAACCCGGGGCCTGACCCCTGAGCAACCCCGGCAAAGTCACCGCGAGTCACCTGTGTGAGCGCCAAGACGGGCTGCAGAGACCCGGGCCTCCTCTGGGTTCCTTCAGAGCAGAGAGTGGTGCTGAGCGGCCGGGCCAAGGCCAGCGGGGGAAGCCGGGGCAGCGACGTGAAGGCCGCGGGCAGACGACGAACACAGGTGGAAAGGACACGAGCCGCCATGGCTACGCCTACCCAGAATGCACTGCGCCGCACCCGCCCGCCGAAGATGGGGTTAGTAATGTACGCTGGCGACGTACAGAGCGGCGCTTGAGGGCTCCGCGGGCGCTGGCGGTCCCTGGCGGCTCCTGGAGGCGCTGCACCCACCTCCCTTTGAAGGGCAAGAGCTACTGTGGCGCCAACTGCACAAATGCCATCTGTCCCTAAACACTGTCAATGACAAAAAGGAACTGACTTACTTATTTTCTCAAAGTCCTTAAATCTATTGTTTTAAGAGTGTTGGCCGCCGGGCGTTGGTGGCGCACGCCTTTAATTCCAGCACTCGGGAGGCAGAGGCAGGCGGATCTCTGTGAGTTCGAGGCCAGCCTGGTCTACAAAGTGAGTTCCAGGACAGCCTCCAAAGCTACAGAGAAACCCTGTCTCGAAAAAACCAAAAAAAAAAAAAGAGTGTTGGCCAGCCGGGCAGTGGTGGCGCACGCCTTTAATCCCAGCACTCGGGAGACAGAGGCAGGTGAATCTCTGTGAGTTCGAGGCCAGCCTGGTCTACAGACTGAATTCCAGGACAGTTTCCAAAACAATACAGAGAAACCATGTGAAAAACCAAAAAAAAAAAAAAAAAAAAAAAAGAAAAGAAAAGAAAAGAAAAGAAAAAAAAATTGTCTGGTTCCAGGACAGCCTGTCTCAAAAGAACCTTTCAGATGTAAATTGATCATGCCTAAAGACAATCATGTTCATCCACTTCAATCTCATAAACACATACCCCCTAACCTAAAAATATGCCTAGTATCCTCTTTTTTTATTTTTTCGAGACAGGGTTTCTCTGTATTGTTTTTTGTTTTGTTTGTTTGTTTGTTTTGGTTTTTTGTGACAGGGTTTCTTTGTGGCTTTGGAGGCTGTCCTGGAACTCACTCTGTAGCCCAGGCTAGCCTCGGACTCACAGATATCAGCCTGCTTCTGCCTCCCAAGTGCTGGGATTAAAGGCGTGCGCCACCAACGCCCGAATCTCTGTATTGTTTTAGAGGCTGTCCTGGAACTCTCTCTGTAGACCAGGCTGGCCTTGAACTCACAGAGATCTGCCTGACTCTGCCTCCTGAGTACTGGAATTAAAGGCGTGTGCCACCAACACCCGGCTGCCTCCAGCAAGTTCCAGGACAGCCCTCCAAAGCCACAGAGAAATCTTGTCTCGAAAAACCAGAAGAAAAAAAAAAAAAAAAAAAAGGACCCAGTCTTATATAGGTCAAGCTGGTACCTGGGAAGAGGAACAGAGTAATTACTATAAGTTTGAGGCAAGCTTGGGCTAACAGTGAGTCCCAGGGAAGCATGAACTATAATGAGACTTTATCTCAGCATGAACTATAATGAGAATATGTAAATAAATGCTTTATCTCAAATAAAATGAGTTAATTAATCTCCTTCATCCACCATTTAAACACCAGGTTTAGGATGCTGCCTTTAATCCACCATTGACTTTAAACATTCAAGTTTTCAGAACCAGTGTGCTCCAGGGGTGCTAATCTCACCTAAATCTGACTCTGACCTTAACACTTCAACACCCAGTTACCTATTAAACACTCTTTCTGGGTGATTTCTAAGTATTCAAATGAATCTTCTTTCAATTACTGATACCATCACTTACCAAGCCAGAGTTTCAGGATGCCTTCATTTCCAACCTTATTAGGCATAATCCTGCTCATTTCCTTGATTTCCAGCTGTTCTGTCAAAGTCCAGACCCCCATGCCCTTCTATCCGCCTCTGTTCTGTCTGCCTTTATAAGTCTTCACTCACTCTGGAGCCATAGTATGACCTGATCTTGTAACTCAGCCTCTCTTTTTCAAGTGTAAAATAAAGTTCTAATAAGAATGATTCTCAACTCCATTCTCTGACATGGTTTGTCTTCATCATTCTGAGTTGTCTGACTTTCTGCCTGGAATTCTTCACTCCCGCTTCACCTGCTTCTGCAAGAATCAGCCATCTATTTAAAAAAAAAAAAAAAAAGGGGGCTGGAGAGATGGCTCAGCGGTTAAGAGCACTGACTGTTCTTCCAGAGGTCCTGAGTTCAATTCCCGGCAACCACATGGTGGCTCACAACCACCTTGAATGAGATCCGGTGCCTTCTGCTGGCATACAGGCAGAAGACTGTATACACAATAAATAAAATACTAAAAAAAAAAGATTATTTAAAAAAAAAAGAATCAGCCATCACCCTCCACAGTTTTCCAGGTTGTACTAACTGCCCTACATTTGCATTTCCACAGCAGCACTGGAACTAACCCTTAAAAGTCCCACACAGCACTTAAGCTTTATGTCGTCTCCCAGGACAGAAGCCTAGCAGAAATCCTTATATCCTTAATGCTAATACTCACCACCATCCATTGAGTCTCCATGGCATGGGAACTATGACCTCACCCTACTCATTGTTTTGTTTTTCTCTTCCTTCTCCCTCTCTTCTTTTGGACTCGGATCTTAAGATCCCAGACCAGCCTCAAACTTGTTACGTAGCTGAGGCTGACTCACCTCCACTTCCAAAGTGATGGAATCATGGACTTGTATTCCTATCCACTCAGGAGTGGAAACAGGAAGATCAGAAGTTTGAGGCCCTCTTCAGCTACACAGAGTTCAAGGTCAGCCCAGGACTCCAGCCTTGAGACTCTATCACAAGTAGGGCGTGGGTAGGTGATGTACCACTACCTGAGGATGGGAAAGAGCAAGGCCATCCCTAATGTAGGATTCTTTTTAAAGAAGGTGTACTTTCATTTGTGTGTCTATCTCTGTGCAAGTGTTTGTTACCTGGGTGGGTGCAAGCCAGGGTCAGTGGAGGGTATCAGATCCCCTAGAGCTCGTTAGGGGTAGCTGTAAGCTGCTTGACATGGGTGCTAGGAGTCTAACTGGGGTCCTCTGGAAGGATGTCAAGTATTCTTAACTCTTAAGTCATCTTTCCAGGCCCTAAACTAGGATTTAAAAAAAAATTCATTTTGAATTTCCTTCCTTCCTTTCCTTTTTTTTTCCTTGGAGACAGGCTTTCTCTGTTTAACAGTCCTGGCTGTCCTGGAACTCATGCTGTAGAACAGGCTGGTTTTAAACTCAGAGATCCACCTGTCTCTTTCCCCTACCCCCACTACAAGTGCTAGGCTTAAAAGTGTTCACCGCCAGGCTAGAGAGATAGCTCAGAGGTTAAGAGCACTGACTGCTCTTCCAGAGGTCCTGAGTTCAATTCCCAGCAACCACATGGTGGCTCACAACCACCTTGAATGAGATCTGGTGCCCTCTGCTGGCATGCAGAAGATTGCATACATAATAAAATGTTAAAAAAAGGAATAAAAAAACAAACAAAAAGTATATATTCTGATCTAACTGAAATATTTGTATTATTCAAATACTATTGACTAAGTATTATAGTTGTCTATGTAACCTTTGTGTGTGTATACTACACATGTACCAGTGCGCATGATGCCAGAGAACAACCTTGGGTGGTATTTCTTGGGTGTTATCTACTTTGCTTTTGAGACAGGGTCTTTTTTTGTTTGTTTGTTTGTTTTTCGAGACGGGTTTCTCTGTAATGTTTTGGAAGCTGTCCTGGAACTTGTTCTGTAGACCAGGCTGGCCTGGAACTCACAGAGATCTGCCTGCTCTGCCTCCCGAGTGCTGGGATTAAAGGCGTGCACCACCAGCACCCGGCTGAGACAGGGTCTTTCATAGGCCTGTATCTTGCCAATTAGGTTAGCTTGGCTGACCAGTGAGCCCTAGAGTTCTGGCTTCGCCGTCCCCGTGCTAGAATTACAACTCTGCTGTTATATCATTTTCCTCCTTGGTAACGGATGTCAGGTACACGAAAGCATTTTACTGAGTTATCTTCCTTAGCCTTCTACGTAATTCTTGTTTTTGAAATGATCTGAACAGACTGGAAAAAAAAAGGGAACACGCCAAGCAGAATGTATCAAAATAAATATTTATTAACATTTACTGTTTATGTACACCCGTAATGGCAAATGTGCAAATATAGATTTAAAACCATAACACCATAAATATAAACAAATACGGTCAGTAGTGACACCATCAAAATAAAGTTTGTGGGAACTCATTCAAGCAATCATGTCAAATGTCTTTTAGATACTGTATTCTTGAAAAAAAAACTATTAAGAGGCGAAATACCCAGGAAACTATTTGCCTCTTAAAAGTAGCGGTATATGAATATATTTCCATCCTTTTGTCCAGCTAGCAAGTGAGAATCTGTACTTGACCATTTAACCAAAGACCAATTCTGATCAGAGACGGGTGGGAGGACAGCAGTGCAGTGACCCAGAAGCAAGTCCCAAACGGCAATTGTTCCAGAAGTCAGGACTGCTGCTGCAATGTGATCTTTCACATCCCCTTCCAGGAACCTGAGATGAAGAAGAAGAGACAATCAAATCTCATGCCAAAGGCTTTAAAAAGCCAGACATGGCTCTGCAGGAAAGGCGCTTCATGAACCACCATGTTTAATCCTTGGAAACCACATGATAGAGAGAAAAGTGATCATTGAAACTTGATCTCTGGCTACCACGTGCTTACAAAGACACATATGACACATAACCCAAACAAAACAAACAAATAAAACGTAGAACATAAACTTTTAAAAAATACCATGCTCCCTGAAACCAGTCAAAACCAAACCCTCTCCCACCGTGAACGCCTAACCCCAAGTTGAGGAATGCCAGCCCTAGACACAGTAATTCAGTTGCTGCCTCTGACACTATTACACCGAGGCTCCTTACCTCCTCCATGCTACACACTCAGTCTCACCTGAGAGACCTTGCTCTTCCCAGCATCTCTGTAAGACTCTAGCCCTGAATGGTAGCATGCCTGGAAACTTATCACCTGAAGCACTGCAAACACACTGTCCCTGCTTTTTATAATCACAACACTTTTCACTATATGAGATTATCATGTTTCCATAATTTGGGAATATACATCTCCCTCAAATTCCCAAGGTTACCTTATTTTTTGGCAGTCTTAAGAGATCTCTAAGCATGACACCTTGCTAGGATCTGCCACTGAACTATGTCCTCAGCCTTCTCTTACTTTTTCCTCAAATTAAAAAGACTTACATTTACATGTTTATTATGTGTGTTTGATAATCCCTGGGACCCACATGGTTAAAGGGGATAATTGATTCCCACAAGTTGTCCTCTGCCCTCCATACTCACACTCACTAAAGAAATATAAAAAACAATAAACAAACAATAAGGGGCTCTGTATTCTACTCCTAAGCTTAAATTCTTTTTTTTTTGGTTTTTTAGAGACAGGGTTTCTCTGTGGCTTTGGAGGCTGTCCTGGAACTAGCTCTTGTAGACCAGGCTGGCCTCCAACTCACAGAGATCCGCCTACCTCTGCCTCCCAAGTGCTGGGATCAAAGGCGTGCACCACCAACGCCTGGCCCCTAAGCTTAAATTCTAATGACAATTAAGTGTTGTGTGACCCTGAGCAAATTAACCTCATCAATAGATGGGGATGGTGAGACATTTACTTCATAGCACTGTTGTGAGGATGAGTAAAACAGTTTGGTTAAAAAGCTTTTTCAGGGAAGTTGGGAGGTGGTGGCAAACAGATTTCTGTGAGTTCCAGGTCAGTCTGGTCTAAAGAGTGAGTTCCGGGACATCTAAAGCTACATAGAGAAACCCTGTCTCGAAAACAAACAAAAACAACAACAAAAGCTTTGGGGGAGTGCAGAGGCTGGGGAGTTGACTCTGAAGTTAAAAGAACTGGTTGGGCTGCTCTTCCAGAAGAATACGGTTTAATTCCCAGCACCCACATGGTAGTTCACAACCATTCTAACTCCAGTTCCAGGGAATCTGACATCTGGCCTCTGTGGGCATTGCACATACCAGGTTCAGAGACAAATGCAGGCCCACACACTTACATTAAAAAATAAAAAACAAAAACACCCAAATCCCAAACTTAGGAAGTGGAGAGATGGCTTGTTATACCCAGTCTGTTGTGAACCACAAGGAAGGAGAGAGACAACACTTAAGGGTTCTAAAGTCTTTAATAAATCACCACATAAATGGGTCACTGATTGATCAGGGCTGCAGGACAAGGACTCCGGTGGAGCCTTGTTTCTCCTGGCAGCCCCGAGCAGGGGCTGAAGCGGGTTTATAAGCACAAAACCATAAATACACTTGTTCCAAGTTCCAGTTACATTTTTCACCAATCAGGATTCAGGGATTAGGAGCTTTCCCTGTGTCCCATCATTGCCAACCTGCACAGAATGTTCAGCCAATTAGATTCATTTGCTCTTTCTGTTGTTAGGAGCAGTCATAATGTCTTAGAGAACTAAGGGGCATAACAGACTGTTGTTTCTATTGTTTAAGGAGGAGGTTGGTCCGCCATTGGAAAGTTCTCAGTTCCCTGAGGACCTGGGAACTTGAACTGTGTTTCACCCTACAGATAAAATGGAGTCTGAAGTCAAAAAGGCAGTACTTAGGCCAAGGTGCTTTTGCCTGCTCCCTTCTGGCTCAAGGGCTAAAAGTATTAGCTGCTTTTCCAGAGGATCTGAGTCTCACTTCCAGAACCCACATGGTACCTCACGACTATTTTTAAGTCCAGTCCTAGGGTATTTAAGGCCTTCTGCCCTAAATGGGCACTGAACAATGTTAGAAAACTCTTATGCCTGTGCATCAGTCAGTAAATAAATCATTATCAGCAGATAAATAGATGCCTGGACAGTAAAGGCTAGGTCAGACATCACACTGAAAAGTACTACCTAAAAGTTCATTTAAAAAGTCTTTAGTTAGGTCTTTTTAAAAATATATTTATTTATTTATTTATTTTTGGTTTTTCGAAACAGGGTATCTCTGTGGCTTTGGAGGCTGTCCTGGAACTCGCTCTATAGACCAGGCTGGCCTCGAACTCACAGAGATCCGCCTGCCTCTGCTTCCTGAGTGCTGGGATTAAAGGCGTGCGCCACCAACGCCCGGCTTTTTTTTTTTAATATTTATTTTTAATTACGTGTATGTACCTATGTGTACATATGTGCATGTGACCACTGGTGTCCACAGAGGCCAGAAACATCTTTTGGACCTGTCATTACAAACAGTTATAAGTTACCTGACATGGTGCTGGAAATCGAACTTGGGTCTTCAGCAACAGAACACACTTATAACTATTGATCTATCTCTCCAGACCTAGATAATGTCTTAACAGAAAGACTGTAAAATGCAAAAGTTCTTTTTTTTTTTTTTTTTTGGTCTTTTCCAGTCAGGGTCTTGCTATGCAACTAAGACTGGCCTTGAGCCTAAATCCTTCTGCCTATGTATTATATGTGAGAAATAACTTTGTGGTGCTGGGCTGTCAAAGCCAGGTCCTTGGCCTACTAGACAAACGAGCTACCAGTTAGGTAAAGGCTAGCCTTCTTAGTCTTGTTCTTATTTGTGGCAACATATAATGAACCAAGGCCTCAAGTGTGCTAACAGGGTTATATTTTACCCTTGCCTTATGAAACTTTTTTTTTTTATTATATAGAACATTCTCCACTCCACCCCACCCCCAAGACAGGTTGCTTTGTGTAGCCCTGGCTGTTCTAGACTCGTTCTGTAAATCAGGCTGGCCTCAAACTCAGAGATCAGCCTGCCTATGGAGGTAAAGGTGTGTCCTATCACTGCCTTGCTTGAAGTATTTTCTTTCAGGAGGCAGAGGCAGGAGGATCTCTATGCGTTCGAGGACAGCCAGAGCTGTTACACAGAGAAACCCTGTCTGGAAAAAACAAAACATATTTTCTTACAATTTTCTGATTGACTGTTTTTAATGACCTGTGTGTGTGAGGTCTATTTACATGAGTCGAGGTGACTGAGGAGGCAAGAGGTGTTGGATCCCCTACTGCTGGAGCTACCGGCAGTCGTATGCCACCTAATGTTGGTGCTGGAAACTGAACAATTACCGAACCATCTCTCCAGCTCTCTTAAAACATTTTCTTTAAGGAAAAAACAGGGTCAATTTTATTTATTTATTTATTGTTGAAGTTTTGATTTTTCTTCAAGACAGGGTTTTTCTGGGTAGCCCTGGCTGTACCAGAACTTACTCTGTAGACCAAGCTGCCTCTGGCTCCTGAGTGCTGGGATCAAATGCATGGCCCAGTTGCTATATATGTTTTAAAAACAAAGAAAGAAATAAATCTAGGGCTAAGGATGTGGCTCAGTGGTTGAGTTCTTGCCTAGCAAGCATAAAATGCAGGGTTATGGCTGCATGGTTGGTAGCATATGCCTTTAATGCCAGCACTCAGGAGAAGTAGGCTGATCTCTAAATTCAGGGCCAGTCTGGTTTACGGGTTCCAGGACAGCCAGGAATACAAAGAGAAACCCTGTCTTAAAAAACAAAAGAAAAACAACAAAAAGACAGAACAGAAAAAAGGGGCTGGCAAGATGGCTCAGCAGTTAAAAGCACAGATGCTCTCCCAGAGGACCCGAGTCCCCCAGAGCCCACATGGCAGCTCACAGATGCAATTCCAGTTCTAGGAGATCTTATGTCTTCCTCTGCCTTCCAGGGGCACCAGGCATGCAAGTAGTATAAACACATATGTGCAGCAGAAATATCTGTACACATAAAATGCAAAAAGGGAAAACCTATTTAATCCATACTGAGGAAATAGGGAGTCTAAAATTTGACTCAATTCCTGTTCACTCCTGCTACCCTCAGTAATGAGGATTTTTTTTTAAAGATTTATTTATTTACTATGACAACATCTTGCCTCCATATATGTCTGTATGCCAGAAGAGGGCACCAGATCTCATTACTGATGGTTGTGAGCCACCATGTGGTTGCTGGGAATTGAACTCAGAACCTCTGGAAGAGCAGCCAGTGCTCTTAACCTCTGAGCCATTTCTCCAGCCCAGTAATGAGGATTTTTAAAAATTTTTATTTATTGTTATTTGTTGTCGGTTTTATTTATTTATTTTTTGGACAGGGTCTCTCTTCTAACTCCTGGAACTTGCTATATAGCCAAAGCTGGCCTTGAACTCAGAGATCCTCCTCTTTCTGACTCCCAAAGGGATTAAAGGCATGCACCATTGTATTTCCTTTTTTTTTTTTGAGACAGGGTTTCTATGTATTGTTTTGGAGGTTGTCCTGGAACTCACTCTGTAGACCAGGCTGGCCTGGAACTCAAAGAGATCCACCTGCCTCTGCCTCCCAAGTGCTGGGATTAAACGCATGTGCCACCAACGCCCAGCTTGTATTTACTTATTGGATTGTATATTTGTATTATTGTATTTACATTATCAGAAATTGTATTTATTACTATGTATGATGTATGCCTGTGAATTCAGCTATACATATACATGGCACAAGGGCCATGTGGAGGTCAGAGGACAAACAGAAGTTGGTTCTTTACTTCCACCATGGATTCCTGGGATCAAACTCAGGTTACTAGGTTTGTAGTCAGTGAGCCACCTCCCCAGATGGTGGTAGAGATCTTGAACCCAGGGTGTTAGGCACACTAGGCAAGTCAGAGCACACACACTGAGCCACATCTCTAGCCCAACAGCCTTTAGCACCTCATGTGTTCTACTCATTCTAGTAATACAAAAGCACCCAGCTTTCTATCTGTGGAGTGTCTTCCAAAATACCTCACCCTTGAACAGCAGTCACACACTTACCTGCCAGCTTGCCCTTGAGGAAGACAGCATAGCAGAACCCCCACACTCTGAGCTGTCTTAGGGTTAATCACCAGAAGCTGAAACATGGGGCTTCCAAAGGCCTGGCTCTCTTTGGCACAAGGATGACTCAGAACAACAAATAGGAGCCCCTGATGAGAGAGAAATAACCAATCAGAACATCAAGAGTATGTTTGACAGCGCTGACAAAACCAAAGCAAAGGGAATGACCAACAGACTCTTCAATAAGCAGGACAGAACCACTGGCGTCCCTTTGTTCATATAGCAACTGCTGAGAGGACCTCCACACTGAACTTCTGGATCCTCGGCCAGTGCTGCCATCCTGAATCCAGCTGACTCATCAGTTTCCTATACTTTAGCTACACCTTGTGTCACCCACTCAGGAAAAGGCTGGCACAGGGAAGGAGGTCACAGAGACATAGGAGCCCTCAAATTGGAAGTAACTCATTTAAGACCCCCTGCTTTAAAGGACATCGACTAGGAATTACCAGTACATACCAATTACTTACATGAAAAACTGGTAAATTGTAGAAATAAATTCATCCTTCTTAACAGATTTTAAAATCTAGGTTCACAATTTTATGACAGCCTGATCTACATACTGAATTCTAGACCAATCAGAGCTCTATTGTGATCCCCCCCTTTCTTTTCAAGTAGTTAGGCACTCTAAAAATATGAACAAAATTCATAGCTTAGAATGTGAGTCTTTGGGCTGGAGAGATGGCTCAGCGGTTAAGAGCACTGACTGTTCTTCCAAAGGTCCTGAGTTCAATTACCGGCAACCACATGGTGGCTCACAACCACCTTGAATGAGCTCTGATGCCCTCTGCTGGCATGCAGGCAGAAGATTGTATACATAATAAATAAATAAAATATATAAAAAAAAAAGAATGTGAGTCTTTAAATCATACAGGTAGAAAATGAGATAAGCAATCACATTGCATTACCATTTATTTTCATTCATAAATGTAAAAAAGAATAAAAATTGGCTAGGAATGTAGTTCAGTCAAGAGACTACCTATCATGTGCCAGCAATCCCATCACTGGAGAGGCAGAAGCAGGGAAATCCTAAATTCAAGGTCATTTTACTCAATACGTGGGGAGCTTCAGGCCAGCCTAGGCTACATGAGACCCTGCCTCAAAACAAAGCAAAGCACAGCACACTGCCATCCAATTTGATGACTGCTACCTTTATTACTCTCATTAGTGAAATCAATAGATAATAAACAAACACCAAGTAGCCCTGGATCACTACTTACCATCTCAGAATAGGCTCTGTGACAGACCGAAGCTTGGTAAGAGTCATCAATGTGCACCTTTTTCAGGAGTTGGCCAGTCTTTAAATTCCTTAGACATCAAAATAAATGGGGTGATTACATTCTTTTATAAAATGATTTTCACATAGTATAACTTTTTCCACAGTCTGAAGACAGAGTATTACTATGTAGCCTAGGCTAGCCTCAAACGTGTGCTCTTCTTTCTAGCCTCAGTTTCTCAATGCTGGTATAGCAGGCCAGCACTACCACAACTAGCTCACACATAATGCTCTTTATTTGTTACAGACTATTTTGGGGTGGCAAAAGGAAATCAGAAAGGGACAGAGCCCTGCACTTTTTTTTTTTTGGTTTTTCGAGACAGGGTTTCTCTGTGGCTTTGGAGGCTGTCCTGGAACTCACTCTGTAGACCAGGCTGGCCTCGAACTCACAGAGATCCGCCTGCCTCTGCCTTCTGAGTGCTGGGATTAAAGGCATGCACCACCAATGCCCAGCGCCCTGTACTTTTGTAAAGTCACACTTGATACACTACTTTTTGTTTTTTGAGATAAGATCTCACTAATTGGCCCTGGCTAGTCTAGAACTTTCTATGTAGACCAAGCGGGCCTTGAATTCACAGAGATCCGCCTGCCTCCACTTCCTGAGTGCTGGGATTAAGGATATTCATCACTGTGCCCAGCACTTTATACACCCTTATTAAAAGTGTAATGCCAAGTTAACTTTGTCAAAAATTGAAGTTGACAGTTTAGCCTTGGGTAACTCTGCTACACCACTGTGGATAATCTCTCTACAATCTACTCAACATATTCCTCCATCTCCCTGTGCTTGGAATTAAGCCAGCTACAAGTTACACCACTCACCAGTATGAGTCGTCCCTCTCCCCTCCCCATGGTGGTGGCACACACCTTTAATTCCAACACTTGAGAGAATAGAGGCAAGCAGATCTTTGTGAGTTTGAGGCCAGCTCAGTCTACAAAGAGATTTTCAGGGATGCCAATGCTACACAGAGGAACCCTGTCTCAAAACAAACAAACAAAAAACAAAACAAAAAAATAAATAAAAATGATTTTTACCCCTTCATCTTTTTATACACACACATCATGCCTGCTTGTCTGTATTTAAGACACTTGCATGCAGTAACAGCAGAGGCCAGAAGAGGGCACTGGATCCCTTGGAACTTGGAGTTACAGGTAGTTATGAGTTTCCTGACAGGTGGTGCTCCAGTTTGTGCTCACTCTTGTTATGCATATGTTTCCCACTGAGAATGACCACATTACCAAATTAACATTTATAGTGCTTTTTCTCATTCCCCTGTGATTTTGACAGCTGGTCTTGGTTAGGGGCTGTCCGGCAGGTAAGGAAGATGGTGGCAGAAAAGAAGACAAAAAAAAAATCTCAGGAGTTGATCAACTTTAGGCTCCAACTTGTTATAAAAAGTGGAAACTACGTGCTGGGATACAGACAGATCCTGAAGAAGAGCAGACAGGGCACAGTGAAATTGACTATCCTTGCCAACAACTGCCCAGCTTTGAGGAAATCTCAAATATTATGCCATGTTGGCTAAAAATGGTGTCCATCACTACTACGGTGGCAATAACACTGGATTGGGCACAGCATGTGGAAAATACTATAGAGTATGCACACTGGCTGTCATTAATCCAGGTGATTCTGATGTTATTATAGCATGCCAGAACAGACTGGTACACCAGGAAAGCTTTCCTTTAATAAAACTTTGCCAGAGCTCCTTGAAAACAAAAACCAAAAAGGATTGATAGCTATTTGTATTTTTATTTATTCATATCAGAGCTAGTCCAAACTAGCCCTTATAGATCAAGGGCTGCCATCCACCACTGCCAACTGTTCCCTCTCCTGAACATATTGTGTATTCCCCTGGCTCTGTACCTTTCCTTATCCCTTCCAAAGTCCTCCCCACTGTTGGGCAACACCCATCCATTCCTGAAGTCCTAGATCACTCTTTCAATCTGCAGAAACTTAACCTAAACTCACCTCCCTTATCTATACTAGTTCACAGTCACCCTTTCCTTTTCACTACCTATGCAACTGTCAGCATCTCATTTTATATACTACAATAAAATAGAACATGTTAATTCAACTAATACAGAACTTTCTTTGGGCAGGAACTGCATATAAAAACACTAAGATTGCTCCTATCCAAGATACCAGGACATGTTTATAAGCTACAGAAGTTTTAGTGTGTGCTCTGTACTTACTAAGTGCGTTCTCCCATTCCTAAAGCATTTTGTCTAAACCTGTATTATTTCAAATTCTTTGAACTATAAAGGAACTTATCGAAATAATATACTTCAAATTGTAAAATCTTATTTACCTATTAGGTTTTAGGAACCTTGGGACAGGATTCATATTTGATTCACCTATGTGCTTTCAAAGAGAATTGTACACAACTGTTTCTTTAATGCTTGAAACACAGTACTCAGCAAATACAGCTTAAACAAGATGAAATATTTAGACCTTAAGTAATAGTTAAAAAAAGAAAAAGCCATCTGAGGGTCAGAGAGAAAGTTCAGCAGGTAAAAGTGCTTGCTAGGCAAGCCTGGTGATCTGAGTTCAAATCCTCCAAGTCCCCCCTACCCCCAACCAGCTACAATGGCAAGCATTTGCAATCCATCACTCCTATTAGAGATGGGAGGGAAAGAGGGAAGAATCAACAAGAAATTCACGGGCCAGCTAGGCTGGAATAGAAGCACAGGAACAGAAACAGAGACTCTGCCTCAAGAACAACTCCTGAAAAGTTGTCCTCTGACCAAACCTCATACACAAACTACTCAAACACTAAGTATAATATGAATCACTTCAGAAATACAATAAATCAAAAATAGGAAAGGTGGCCGGGTGGTGGCGGCGCATGCCTTTAATCCCAGCACTCGGGAGGCAGAGGCAGGCAGATCTCTGTGAGTTGGAAACCAGTGTAGTCTACAAGAGCTAATTCCAGGACAGCTTCTAAAGCCAGAGAAACCCTGTCTCGAAACCCCTCTGCTCCCCCCAAATAGGAAAGGTAAATAAATACCATAAAGAAAATTAGCTGAATGTGACAGCATACATGTGTAATCATGGAATCTGGGAGACTGAGACAGGAGAATCACACATTTGAGACTAGCATGGATTACATAGTGAGTTACAGTTTAGCCTGGGCCAAACAGCCAGCCAGTCTTGACAGTAAACAAGCAAACAACAAATGAATAACTAAAGGTCAATGATAGATTCTTGTTGACGTCACAACCAATAGGTTTTGAGTCTTTTCCTTATATAGCTAAGGTAGGTGTTAAGGTAACATGCATCTGTAATTTTCTGCACTAGAGAGTCTAAGGTAGGAGGAATGTGAGTTAGTGGCCAGCTGGGACTGCACTGAGACCTGTCTCAAAAAACAAATGTCAAATACCTCTCTACTAGCTACTAATGGGGGAAAACACAGAGGATATGCTACGAAATGTCAATGTACTTCCTATACTTAATATTTACAGACTATCTCAGATACAATGCTACAAAACTCTGGATTCTGTTAGGTTCCTCTGAAGAATAGTGATGGTACTTAGTTGCAATAGTAAACAGCTAACTTGGCTGAATTCAAACGCCAAATGAAGAACTTTTAGTTCAATTCTTTAAGCCTTAATGGAGCTGCTTATAGTTTACCTTGTAAAAAGTAATTTAAAGGGCTAGCTAGAGCCAGGAGTGGTAATGAACACTCGTAATCCCACTGCTCAGACACTCAGGTAAGATGGCAGTTGAGTGTGTGCACATAGCCTGGGCTACATGGTGAGACCCTGTTTCAAAACCAAAAATAAGTATGCCAGATAATTAGGTAATCATACTCAGAATTTAAGGTTCCTTTTTCATGTGTGAGTGTGCACAAAGGAGAGAGGAAAAGCTTGAGTTTCTTTTTTCTACATTGTAGTTTTTTTATTATGTATGTATGTACATGTGGCTAGTATGCACATGCCACTCTGCACATGTGAGGGATAGAGAACAATTGTGAAGAGTCAGTTCTTGACTTCCACTCATATGAAGATTACAGGGGTCAAACTCAGGCTTTAGGCCTGTTTGGAAACAATTCAATATGCTATGTCATTTCACCATCTCCTTCATCTTACATTTTTGAAATTTGTCTGAGGCAGGGTCTCATTATAGTGCCCTAACTAATGTGGAACTCTCTATGTAGATGGGTAGATGGAGCTGGCGTCAAACTCCCAGAGATCCGCCTGCCTCTGCCTCCCAAAGTGCTAGGACTAAAGCTATGTACCACCGCTACCCAGCTTACGACTCAGTTTTTCAAATGTAAGTTCTGCGAATCAAATTCAGGCTATCCTACTTGTGAGGGAAGCACTTTTCTAAGTGAATGAAGATCCTACTCCTAGTATTCCTTGTCAATTTTCTTCTTGAGACATTTCTTTCTACTTGCTACTTCCTAGTTGCCTTGGACTCTATCCTTTGGTCAACACTATCACAAAGCTACACATAGCCTGCAACTCTGTATTTTCACCAAAGAGTTCCCTTTATTTAATTTAATGACTGATTATCTATTTTGCAGTAGTGAGCATTGTACCCAAGGCCTTGCACATACCAGGCAAATGACACTTAAAGAAAATCATGTTTTTGATTTTCTGTGTATGTTTTGCTTATATGTATGTGCCTGGTGCCCATGGCAGACAGAGGAGGACATCAGATTCCCTGAAATTGGAGTTACAGACAGTTGTGAGTCACCATGGACAAGCAGGAATTGACCCAGATCCTCTACAATAGCAGCCGGTGAACTTAATTGTTGAGCCTTCTTTCCGGCCCAACAACCCTGTATCTTAAAAATAGTTTCCTTAATCCACATCTGGGTGTTCTTTTTCCACATCTGGGTTCATTTTCTTGGCAAGATAAGGCCAAAGCTTAAGAGTGAAAAGAGAAAACTTCCATCATGTTTGCAGTCTCTGTCTTTCTCTGAGGCAGGATCTTTCCATGTATCCAGCTGTGATCAAATTAGCCTTCTCCCCTCAGCCTCCTGTGTTCTGGGATTATGGGTGTGTAGCATCATACCCTGCCCATCCCCAGCATATCCAACTCTACATGAACAGAAGCATATTTGCATATATAGATGAGGATTTAGAGCAAAAGCTTACCAGATCACAATGTTGTTCACAGTGGTGGTACCAAGCAGAGCATCCTGCATCCCCTGGACTTCAGCAAAAGTCAATATAGTCTCATCAGGGGGCATCAAAAGTTGTTCATCTTTGCTACTGTATATAAAACAGTACTGAAAATCACTTTTCAAGTCAAAACAGTTTCTTAATAGTCCTTCTAGGTTTAGTGACTCTATGGGTTCATTTCTCACAGATCTGTCTTCTTTCTTTGTCCAACACTTTCCTGGTGATTGATTGATTTGAGTCAGGGTCACTTTCTGTCCAGATGACTCACTATATAGCCCAGGCTGACCTAAACTCACATTAAGTCCCCCAACTGCTGGAATTAGAGGTTCACTTTTTTATTTAAGAAATCACTTGGCTCTTGCCTAGATTACCATGTTGGTCCAGGTTTAACTATGATAAATAATAAGACTGCCCTCAGTTACTAGAAATGACAAAAAACAATAATTACAACAGGCTGAGGGTGTAGCTCAGTAGTAGATTATGCTTAATATTGTCCAAGGTTCAATCTCCAGGACTAAAGTATAACAAAGTATGGAAAAAATGCATGCTATGACATGATAAAAAGAGAAAGCGTTTGTCATTCAGGTTTCCATGTGCTGAACTTGAAGTACCTAAGAGATGGTTATTAAAAAAGCATGCAGGTCTAGAGCATAAGTAGCTTAGATCTTGCATCTAGATGGTCAATGAGCAATGGACATGAAAGAGTATGAGGAGCAAGGTACTTCTAATACTTAAGGGACACACACAATTTTCAAAGAAAGCTAAAGAGAAAGCAAACTACATTTGCTGAGCCTCTCTACTCCACTGGCTTCCCTGGCTTCCACCTTTTCAGTCTGCTTGTTGGTTGCAATGTGGCATTAAGACCATGTTTGCTATTTGTAGTAGTTTGAATGTAATAAACCCTATAAGCTTATAGGGAATGGCTCTATTAGGAGGTGTGGCTTTGTTGGAGTAGGTATGGCCTTGTTGGAGGAAGTGTGTTACTATGGGGTCAGGCTTTGAGGTTTCCTATGCACAGGATACCACCCAGTGCCCCAGTCAATTTCCTGTTGCCTGCAAGACTAATACTCCAGCACCGTGTCTGCCTGCATGTTGCCATGCTCCCCATCATGATGACAATGGACTGAACCTCTTAAACTGTAAATCACCTAGTTAAATGTTTTCTTTATAAGAATTAGTCATGGTGTCTTTTCACAGCAAGAGAAACCCTGACTAAGCCCACTACTCCACCTATACCATAAAAAATCAGAGTCCTAGCCATATACTTTCTATGCTGCCTGGGATAAAATGCGTCTTTACAGAACAATGAAGACCAACCAATGCTTTTCTTACCCTCCATCTTCAGCAAATGTCATGATTTGTACTTGTTGATTGCAAAAGGTTCCAATGCTACTAACTAGTCTTCTCTTTGTCAAGCCAAGCACAGCTTTTATATTTCCAGATTTCAGTAGTACTTGCGTTTCACTTTCATCACCAGAGGAGCACAGCAATGCCCTAAACCAAATACAGAGACAAATGGGGAGAAGCTAGTAAGCAGTGAGCAATAAGGGACTGAGCACAAATTTTAAACAGCAACCTCAGTCAAAGATGTCAGTCTACACATGGCTTTATTTTATCTTTATTTATTCTTGTCTTTTCGAGACAAGGTTTCTCTGTGTAGCTTTGTAGATCAGGCTAACTTGAACACAGAGATCCGCCTGCCTCTGTCTGCCGAGTGTAAGTGGGTGTTGGAATTCTGAACTGCTAAGCCATCTCTCCAGCCGCTAGAACTTTTTTTTTTTTTGGTTTGGTTTTTCAAGACAGGGTTTTTCTGTGTAGCTTTGGAATCTGTCCTGGAACTCAATTTGTAGATTAGGCTGGTCTTGAACTCACAGAGATCTGCCTGCCTCTTGAGTGCTAGGATTAAAGGCATGTGCCACCACCACTTGGCTTTTTTTCCCCCTGCTAGAATTTTTTAAGACAAAGTCTCACTATGTAGCCCTGACAGGCTTTGAACTTACAATGTAGATCAGGCTGGCCTTGAAAGGGGTAAACTAAACTCAAAGGCTTCACTTCTAATAATTTAGAAATAAAGGGACCAGACCTGCACTCAGTCCCCTGATTTGGCAGTCATGACAGGCTACAGAAGGGACATGTAGGCCTCTGAGTCAGCACATGACACAAAGAAACTCCAGACCGCCCCCAACACACACACACACACACACACACACACACCCTCCCTCCTAGATACTTGGTTTCTGGGAACTGTTTAGCTACAAAAGAGACTCCAAGAGAGACCAAAATCTCTTCTGTAGTCTCCAGGATATAGTTCTGAGAACTATTGGTATCTATGTACAACAGGACAAAGTCATAGAAACTACAGAATGTTCCCTCTCAGCACTGACCAATGAGAATAATTGGTACACAGGTATTTCATGCCAAAATATGACTTTGAGAAATTCTTCTAGTTGTTCCCAAATGTCAACATCAGTAGGTACAGAAACCAACATGTACCTATGATGTAATCATGCAACTTTTGTCTTTAAAACCCACCAGTAGACAGGGAATTTCACTCCCTCTGGAGGCTGTGTCAGCTTGCTAAACAGGGTCCCTGCCATGGTTGGATGAATAATTAAAACCTTGCTTTTGCAGTTTGGTGGGTCTGTCTTCCTGGTGGTCTATGGGGATCTTTTCGACTTGGGCACAACAGCCTCAAACCCAGAGACTTGCCTGCCTCTGTCTGCTAAGTGCTAAGACTAAAAGTTTGTGCTACCATACTCAGCTAGATTAAAAAAAAAAAAAAGAGCAAAACATCTCCTTTTAGAAATAAACTCAGGTTCCCCTTTCAAAATATTTCAGACAGTGATTCCTGTAGTCCAGGCTGGCTTAAAACTCACAATCCTCCCTCAGCTTCCAAGCATTAGGAGTGTAGTGTGCCACCATGCCTGGATCGATCTCTCTCTCTCAATTTTTTAAATTTTATTTTACATACGTTAGTGTTTTGCCTGCCTGCATGTCTATGTGAGGGTGTTGGATCCCCTAGAACTGGAACTACAGTTGTGAGCTGCCATGTGGGAGGTCGGATTTGAACCCAGATTCTCTGGAAGAGCAGCCAGTGCTCTTAACTGCTAAGCCATTCCTCTATCCCCACTTAGATCTCTTTTAAGATTAAAAAAAAAAGTTAGTTTATTTTCAATTACGTATGTTGGTGTGCCTGTGTGTGGGTATGATGTGCACCTGAGTAAGTGTCTACAGAAGCCAGAAGAGGGTGTCAGGTCCCCTCAAGCTGGAGTTACAAGTGGTTATTAAGCTACTCCACAAGGGTGCTGAAAACTGAACTTGCGTTCTCTTTTAAGAGTAATGTGAACACTTAACTGCTAAGCCATCATTCCATCACCCGGAGATTCTTTTATTTTTTAATTTTATGTGTATGTGTGCATGCCTACATGCGTTTATGTACATACAGGAGCCCACAGAGGCCAGAACATGGTAGTACATAGTGAACCTTCATGTGGGTGTGGGGAACCAAATCCCAGTCTTCTCAGAGTAGTAAGCATTGTTACCCACTGAGTGAGCTCTCCAACCCATTTGCTTTGAGTGACAATCTTATGTAGGCCTTGAACTTCCTATGTATCTAAGGATGATGATGACCTTGAACTCTTAATTCTCCTGCTTCAGCTTCCCAAGTGTCATCATGATTGGCCCTAAATTAACTACAAAAAAAAAAAAAAAAAGATTTAGTTGGGCGTGGTGCCACACACCTTAAATCCCAGCACTTGGGATCTCTGAGGTCAAGGCCAGCTTGACCTACAAAACAAGTCCCAGAATGGCTAGGGCTACACAGAGAAATCCTGTCTCAAAAAACACCCCCCCCCAGACAAAAACAAAGATTTATTTATTTTTATGGTGATGTGCCTGAATATATGTACATGCACCACATGTGTGTAGGTGCCTAGATAGGTCAGAAGAGGATGTTAGAGCCCCTGGATTTGGAGTTGAAAGTAGTTGTGAGCCACCTAATGTAGGTGATGGGAACCCAACCTGGATTTTCTGCAGGAGTAGCAAATGGCCTTCAATACTGAGCCATCTCTCCAACTTCAAAAACTCAGATTCTTAAGACACCCTGCTTTTCAAACTTAAGTGTAAATTACAATGTATACTCAAAATAATCTAAAAAGAACAAAGATAAAGACGGAAGGGTGTTAGAACAAGAGATCACATGTGGAGTCTTGAGAAATTGCATACCTGATTTCTCTGATTTCCAAATTTCCCAAAGCCACACATATAAGATTAAAAACATCAGGCACTGGAACTATTTGTAACACTGGAATCTACATAAAGCAAAATTATACTCAGTCAGCTATAGTTTCATGAATATTTTACAAAAATTTAACATATTCTTTTCTTTATTACAACTGAGCATAGGGTCTTGCTCATGCTAGGCAAACAACTTTATAACCAAGCTGTATTCCTAGCCTTTTTACTTTTTATCTTGAGACAGGGTCTCATTAAGTTGTTTAGTTTCGATCTGAACTTGTGATCCTTCTGCCTCAGCCTCCAGAGCTGCTTTCTCATGTATCAGGTTTAATTTCCAACATCCAAACAAATGTGAAGGTTCAGAAAAATCTTCTTGCCCCTCACAACTCCCCTTTGTTTTTTTGAGAAAGGGTCTCACAAAGTAGCCCTGACTGACCTGAACTCAATTTGGTCATTCATATTAGCCTAATTAGTGAGTTCTAAGCCAACGATAGACCGCACCTCAAAAAGCAAGATGGACAGCTCCCCACAAACTTGAACAAGGTGTACCACCTGCACACAAATATATAGGAGGGAAGAAGGGAAGGAGGGAGGGAGGGAGGAATAAAAACTCATTCATGTTTTGGGGCTGGAGGTGAAGCTCAGTGGCAGATCATGAGCTTAGCATGAATAAGGCCCTGGGTGTAATCCTCAGAGCAAAAAGGAGATTTTATTAGTCATTGAGCAGATAGATATTCAGTTACCTCTGAGCAAAGACCAGTGCTCAAAGCTGTGGGCACAGGAAGAATAAGGAACAAGTACAAATACATATAAAGAATATATAGAAAAACCGGATATATGGTGTGTGTCTATAACCCCAGTACTTGACAGGTAGAGGCAGGAGTGGCAGGGTTCAAGGTAAGCTTCGCTACATGGGGAGGTTCAGGCCAACCTGAGCTACATGAGACCCTGTCTCAAGACTCCCCTCTCACCAAAGAAAAGAAATAAGTAGAAATGAGTATATGTTCATATGAATTTAAAAATCTTAAACACAGAGGCTGGGAAGATGGTTCAGCTGGTAAAAATACTTGTTGTACAAGCCTGGTGACCCGAGTTCAACCCTTGGTACTTGCATTGGAAGGAGAGAATGATTCCTGAAAACTGTCTTTTGACTTCCAAACACTTGCAGTGGCATGCACACACCGATAAACACCAATAATATTAGTAATGATAGTAATAATAATAATAATATTTCTAACACAGTAGTACTGTAATCACATTAGAGGCATATGAAGATAAGCAAAGATAATATATAGAAAACAGAATCGTATTTTGGTGAAGGGGAAAAAACACAGCTATCAGCAGTTTAAATGGTAGAACAGACCCAAATGCAAGCTTCCCAACAGACCCACTATAGAATTCTACTTGCATACAAGCATGATGCTAATGCTGGAGTCAAGATGGTGAGCATGTAGTGCCCAATGTAAACTTTAAGTTTGACATGTTTCATAATAAATGCTGAGTGTGAGTCACAGCTGCATCGAATTGTAAATGCACCTTTTAGCTCTAAGGATTGGACATACCTCTGTGAAGTGCCAGGACTGAACTTTTTCCCACTCCAAAGTAGCCAAGGGCTTCCAAAGAGAAACTATATCTTCACAAGCAGTTATGATACATGGCTCCTTAGCACCAGCTCCTTCCCACCACATGGCACTCACATCCACGGAACAGGAACTGGAAGGATTCTGCCACAGAAGGGTAAGTAATGTTAACGTTCCACTTAATGGAAAGAGTAAGTTCGAAAAGTGAAGTCACAAAGATGAGAAGAAACACCAATTAAGTAAAATCAAAGTTTTATGCAGGTTATAAGAAAGAGCTTAAAAATTTTATGTCACAAAACAAACAAAATACCCAAAACCACCTATTAGATTTACATCATGATAAACATAAAAATGTCTTAACTCCAGAACTAAATAAAAGGTAGACTACGTAATTGTAGAATGGAACACATTCTGATTTAGCCAAAAAAAAAAAAAAAAAAAAAAGCCCATAAGAACTTATCTGTTGGGAAATTAAACATCCTGGTGAACAACTCAGGAGTTAAAGAGAGAATAAAATTGAAACCATATACCATATCCTCCTCCTCTTTTTTTTTTTTTTTACTTTTAAAAGAGGGTCTCACTGTGTAGCCATGGCTGGTCTAGAACTTGAAAGGTAGATCAGGCTGGTCTTTCAACCCACAATCATGGCCAAAATAGTCTTTGTCAGAAAAAAAAAAAAAGATTGCATACAGCCCAAGAAGTTAATAAAAAACACAAACAAAACAATAAGAACAAAGCAAAAACAATGAATGGACCAGGTGTGGTAGTGCATGGCTATAAAAAAAGAGACAAGAGGATCCTGAGTTTAAGGCCAGCCTGAGCCACACACTGAGACTCTACCTCTAAAAACAAAATCAGTACAATCAAGAACTAGTTGCTTTTGAAAGTAAACACAAACAAAAAGAACAAATTTTTAAAGTCTGATGCAAGAGGAAATTACTTTTAGAAATGCAGGAATAAGGACTGGGGATGTGGCTTATTTGGCAAAGTACTTGTCTATTGAATACAAAGCCCTGGGTTCAATCCCCAGCCCTCCACAAACTGGGCATGATGATACATACATACTGCAATCCGAGCACACCCACAACTTGGAAGGTAGAAGTAGAAGGATCAGAAGTTTAAGACTACCCTCAGCTAAATTGGAAGAACAAGACCAGTCTTGTATACTTCAGACCCTTCCTCAAATAAATGAATTAATTAAATTTAAAAAATAGGAGAATGAGATGAACACAGTGGCACATACCTTTAATCCTAGAATTTGGGAGGCAGAGGCAGGTGGATCTGTGAGTTTGAGGCCAGTCTAGTCTACTAAGCAAGTTCCAGGATACTAGGGTTACACAGAGAAATCCTGTCTCCAAAAACCAAAACAAACAAAACAACTGTAACCTTTAACATATAAATTTGAAAATATGAACAAAATGATAAATTCCATTTGAATCTAAAGTATTTAAACTGACCCGAGTTGAGGACACCATGACAACATGGCTCACAAAGACTAAACTGCTAATTACAGACCCTGTATAGGTCTGAGCTCGGTCCTCTGCATATGTGTTATGGTTGTTGGCTTGGGTTTTTGTCAGACTCCTAACTGCAGCAGTGGGGGGGGGGGTGACTGACTCTTGCCTGCTCTTAGGAACCTTTTCCTCCTACTTGGTTGCCTTGTCCAGCCTTGATATGAGGGCTTGTGCCTAGTTTTATTGTAACTTGGTATGCCATGTTCAGTTGATATCCCTGGGAGGCCTGTTCATTTTTGAAGGGAAATGAAGGAGGACAGAATTTAGGGGAGAAGGGAAATGGGAGGGGAGTTAGGGAGTGGAGGAAAGGTAAACTGAGGTTGGGATATAATGTATGAGAGAACAATACATATATACATAAAATTGACCCGAGAACAGCTTTGAAACAGAGCATAGGTGCTACTCCTATGAATCTGCCACAGAAAAGGAACCTGGAGCCCAGAGGCTAATTTTGTCAGTAACTGGTAGCAGCACTTCCGTCACTTCCGTGAGTTTGAAGTTCTTCCTCTATTCCAATGATTTCTTTCTTTTTTTTTTTAATATTTTATTTATTTATTGTGTATACAACTTTCTGCCTGCATGCCAGCAGAGGGCACCAGATCCCATTCAAGGTGGTTGTGAGCCACCATGTGGTTGCCGGGAACTGAACTCAGGACTTCTAGAAGAACAGTCTTAACCGCTGAGCCATCTCTCCAGCTCCCTATCCCAGTGATTTCTAACTGGGAAAGACTCCACACCTGCACCTCTACCTCCAAGAACATTCAGCAATGTTCGGAGACATTTTTGGATATGGTAATTAAACCCTTAAGTATCAAAACCCAGAACTGAGATTTTCCTTGAGAGTTTACTGTATAGCCCAATCTGACCTTGAAACTGATAGGTGGCTCACACTGCCCTCAAATTCACGGTCTACTTGTCTTCTGAGATGCTGTGCACCACCACACAAGACCCATTTTCTTATAAATAGCAAGTGACTCTTGCACAGTATTTTATTATTTAATAGAAGAGGCATGAATGACTCCTGTCTCCCTTCCTCCTCCTCTGTCAAAATATCTGATTTAAATAAATCACCCAGCTCATTTAAATAAACTTAAGTTCATTTTAAAAATTAAGCCAGGTATGGTGGAACATGGTTTTAATCCCAGCAGAGCACTTGGGAGGCAGAGACAACAGATCTCTGAATTTGAGGTCAACCTATAGTAAGACCCTGTAAATAGTAAATTTTTCTTGACAACAGAAATAGTTAAGTTGTTCTTGGCAATGAGCTGGTGTATAAATTTCAGAAAGATAAGTCAAAACATAACTACAACTAAATACTGTGATAAAGAATTAAAATCTGCTTTTCTGTATCTGCTTCTCAATACATTTAGTATTAAACAAGAAATTAAACTGCTCAGTGACAGAATTCTTTCCAAGCTTATCAACTCATTTGATGTTTTACATGTAACATACAAGGCACACATAACAGGATATTCTTCTAACCTTGAACTTTGAGACCAACTGTAGGCTGCCTGGGTTCCAGCTGTCACAAGCAGGGAGGTCTGCGATTTCAGTCTGTGGAGACAAGTCACACTGTGAGTTTATTTTCTGTTACACTTGCCTTGTTCATTCAGCTGCAAAGCCTCCTCAGATGTTACTACTGACAACACAAAGGCAAGTGCAACTACCTCACTGATGACAAAGAGAACAGGACCCTCCTTGTATTTTTAAAATACATAATTTAGGGGGCTGGAGAGATGGTCAGCAGTTAGGAGTACCGGTTGCACTACAAGAGGACCTGGGTTCAATTCTTAGCACCTACACGGCAGTTCACAACTGTCTGTGACTCTAGCTTCAGAGGACCTGATACCCTCACACAGACATATACACGCAGAACACAATGAACATAAAATAAAAATAAAAAATTATTAAAGAAACACATAATTTAATTAGCCTTAATTTTCCCAGAATGAGCATAACCTTTACAATGAAGTCATTGCAATCAAACATAGCAAAACATTTTTATAAATACTGAGAGGTCAATGTGAGAAAGTCAGCTGTCCATATTCACTAGGACATTTCATCCTTTCAGAGAAAACTTCACAAAGGAAACGATTGTACCTGTTCAGTGGAATATTCATGTAACCCGAGGCATGCATTTCCACAGAGCTGATTTTCTCTGAAAGTGAATGACTCAATGGGTAGAGGTGTTGCTTGGGGGCCAGAGTCTCTGTCACAGGCAGGTTGTCCTTGCCTACCTGACACGTGCAGGCTGGTATCCACTTTTGGTGAGCTGGCTGAACTGTTGCATTGTTTGTTACTAGCAAGGCTGCTTATGTCTCCCAGGTGAGAGGGCTGGGATGTAGAGCAAGTCTGCCTAACTTCAGAGGCTACATTCTCACTGGTTGCTTGGGAGGCGAAAGCTGGAGTCGTGCCTAAGATGGGGAAAGCAGGTGAGCACAGGTAGGCAGTAGATCTGCCACTGTGGTTAGGTGCAGCCGTATCTGTAGGAGTGAAAAGCAGTACGGATGAAGAAAGACCCCTGCTTGGATGCTGCCTTCTCTGGGATGGCCCTGGATGCTGGGCTTCTCCTGATGGAGCAGGGAGTTCTTCTTTCAAGTCCTCCATTTCTGAATCTATTTGCAGTTCCTCCAGAGTGGCACGATTTCCTTCCCTAGGAAGTCTCTCTCCATAGGTTTTTGAGTCAAGAGACTCAATCAGTTTTTCTGAGTAGGACTTCAATTTTTTAAGCTTAAGAGGCCCAAAGTCTTCATCAGGTAACTCGAAGCCTGTGATATTGAGAAAAGACAAATTGCCTTAAAATTCAGATTTCATTCTTATGGTACAATGAAAGTATTATCATTACTCCAAAATAATTAAATGTTATTATTTTAGTGGACATATATATGTTTTCACCTGTGTATGTTCATATATATGTGGAGTCCAGAGGTCAATGTTAGGTATCTGCACTTGCTCTCTACCTCATTTTTTTTAGGACAAGGTCTCTCACTGAGCATGGAGTACGCTGATTCAGCTAGCCTGGTTGACCGGCAAGCTGTTTAGCCACAGAAAGGAGTGAAGCACTGATTCATGCTACAGCATGGACATAATGCTAAGTGAAAATGAACAGATGCAAAATGCAAAGGTCATACATCACATAACTTCACTTACCTAAGTACCTAGAATGCTACCTGTCTCCCAGATACCATGCAGCAGACTGGTAGTTGTATATGGACTGGGAATGAAAAGAATAATAGAAAGCAGGTGCTTAGCAGGCGGGGCTTCCCTGTGGAGTAATTAAAATTTTTTGAACTAGAGATGGCAACTGTGTAACACAGTAAATGTCACTGGACTGTTCACTTAACAAAAACCAGTTAACTTTATGCTATATGAATGTCACCTCTAGAAAAAGGTTTTTTAGTGTTGTTTTGTTTTTCATGTCAGGGTTCCCCTGTGTAGCCCTTGCTGTCCTGGATCTCGCTCAGCAGGTGGCTGGTCTCAAACTCAGGGATCCATCTGCCTCTGCCTCCTGAGTACTGGAATTAAAGGCATGTGATACCACATCTGGCTCTAGAAAAAGATTTCAATTTTTAAAGACTGATATTGTTTGTTATCTCACCATCTTTATTAAAACCATGTCTCTGGGACTGGAGAAAATAGTTCAGAACAGCAGGGGCAATAGCTTAGAGATCAAGAATGTTTATTGTTCTTTTAAAGATCCTGAGTTTGGTTCCCAGCACTCACACCAGGTGGCTCACAACCACCTGTAACTCCAGCTCCAACATCTCTGGTCTCTGTAGGCACTTGCATTCACACACACAGACATATACATACATATACACACGGTTGAAAATAAATCTAAGGAGCAAAAGAAAGAAAAAAAAAAAAAGAAAAGAAAAGAGAATGGGTCCTGCTCTTATAGAAGGTCAGAGTTTGGTTCCCAGAATGCACATGGAGCAAGCAGTTCACAATTGCCTGAACTCCAGCTCCAGGGGATCTCTTCTGGCCCCTTCAAGCACTACAGTCATATGAACACATCCATGCATGCATACACATAAATATACAACTTAAACACCACACATCTTTTCTCTGACCCCTTAAGAAAGCAGCATCAGTGGTGCTGGGTGTGGTGACACAAGCCTTTAGTCTCAACAGATGCAAAGGCAGGCAGGTGCACCCTTTAGTATTAGCAGTCAGGAGGCAGAGCTAAGGAATTTTTCTAAGTTCCAGGGCAGTCTGGTTCACATAGCAAATGCCAAGATAGTCAAGGGCTACATAGAAAGAACGTGTCACAAATTAAAAACAAAACAAACAAACAAACAAAAAAACCAAAGCAAGACCAAAAATACCCTCAAAAGAAACAAACCAAAAACAGAAAGCAGCACCAAATCCTTAGCTGTTTTTTGTTACTAAGGGAATTTTGTTGCAGGTTTTTTTGTTTTATCTTCGTCATGAATGATACTTTAAAAACATCTCTAGTAGGGGCTGGAGAGATGGCTCAGAGGCTAAGAGCACTGGCTGCTCTTACAGTGGTCCTGAGTTCAAGTCCCAGCAACCACATGATGGCTCAAAACCACCTAAGATGAGATTTAGTGCCCTCTTTGGGCATGCAGGCATACATGCAGGCAGAATACTGAATACATAATAAAATAAATAAATCTTTAAAAAAATCCCTAGTAATATATTTACATATGGGGCTGGAGAGATGGCTCAGTGGTTAAGAGCATTGACTGCTCTTCCAGAGGTCCTGAGTTCAATTCCCAGCAACCACATTGTGGCTCACAACCATCTATAATGAGATCTTTTCTGGTGTGCAAGCATACATGCAAACACTGTATACATAATAAATAAAATCTAATATATATACATATATGTATATATATATATTCACATATGAATAGTAAACTCGATAATGAAACAAGAAAAGGTTTTAAAATGTAGCTCAGGTTACTAAAATCACAGCAGGGGACTGGAGAGATGGTTCAGCAGCTCAAAAACACTCCAGCATCCACATTGGGACTCCTAACTATCTGTACTCCAATCTCAGGGGATCCAACACCTCTTCTGGCTACCACTGGCACTGCATGTATGAGTTATACAGGCATACAGGCAGGACTCATATATATAAAAGAAAATAAAACACAAGAGACTATTTCAAATTACATATATAAAAACAATGTCTAAGTTAGCTTGGCACTCAGGAGGCTAAGGCAGAAAGATCCTGAGTTCAAAGCCAGTTTGGACAAGATACTGAGAACCTGTCTCTAAAAGAAAAGTTTCTAGATTATTATTGGAGTGCATACATTTTCTTTTGAGACAGGGTTTCACTATATAACCCTGGGTGGTCTAGTACTGCTTGCTCCTACCTCAGTTGTGATTAATGGTATGCAACACCATACTTGGCCTTTTTTTTCTTAAATTTTTATATTGTTGATTTAGATAAGGAAAAGAGCCATGCTTACTATTTTTGAATGAACAAATTATAGGTCATAAGCAAACATCTATGCACAATGGATGCCTATTTACATATAAAGTTTTATGAGAACATGATGTTACATATTGTCTATGGCTGCTGCTATACTACAATTGAACAGGTGAGAAATGACATCTATTTTTGCAGGTATTTGGGCATTCTCTATTTAAAAGTCGCAGTGATCCTGTTTTTCTGTTGTTTATCAGGTATGTTTATCAGGTATGATTACCTTGTGAGAAAATGAATAAAAAGCTCGTCATATTCTTGCTTACTACTCAAAAAATCTTATATTCTATAGACCACAGTTATGTTATCCAAAAAAGTTCTCAGGCTTTCCATTACATGATGAAGTTTTTCTGTAGTTTTACCTAGTACATATTCCATTTTACTTCAAAACATCGATATTGGAGTCTGCCCATGGAAAGACTGTGCTGTACTTTAAATAGAGATTAACTTGAGTAAGCACCCAATATTTGCCGTGTGAGTTTTTTAAATATACCACTGAACTCTGCAGCTCTACCATTTAAAGTCAATGTACCTTCACTCTGTCTTACGTCTTTCTTTCCTCAGTTGAAAGTGGAGATAAAAAGATTCTACCTTGCCAGGCGGCAGTAACACATACCTTTAATCCCAGCACTCTGGAGGATAAGGCAGGCAGATCTCTGTGATCTTGAGGCCAGCCTGGTCAACAGAGTGAGTTCCAGGTCCAGGACAGGTTCCAAAACTACAGAGAAAATGTGTGTGTGTGTGCACGCGCGCGCACACGCTCTACCTTGTATAGGGCAGTGATGATTCAGTATGTTAATAGTGCACACAGCATTTCAAGTACCAGGTACACAGTGATGATTAGCTGTCACATCAACCATCATCAAACACAACCCAATTTATATTCAACTTCCTTCTTACCATGAATAATCGTTTTTCCATCCTGACACTTACCCTTGGTGAATTTGCCCTTGGACATGTTCATATCCAGTGTGCTGCAAGGAGGGAAAATCAGCTGACGATCCTGTGTGGAGGTTCGAACTGATTTTTGTTTTCCTCGGCGTCGTCTACCAGGTTGGCTGTCAGTTGTAGCAGGTGTTGTGGGAGAGCTGACCTCAGCTGAGGAGATTAGTTCCTGAGAGGGACTTCCTGAACTGGACTGTCCTGTGCATGTGTCCAACACACTACTCTCCCTTTGGTCAGTCTCTTCACTGGAGAGGACTACATCCTTAGGTGCTTTCCTTCTATTTTTAGGTCCTTTCTTCTTGACACCCAAGTGACTTTGAATTACAGCTTCCAGAGCTATTTTTCTCTGATAGTCTGACATACGACGGGTAGTTCTAACGTAGTATTCTGCAGGAAACGGAAGGCCTTCAAGCATTGTACAAGAATGTATTTGACTTTCTGTGGCAGGAGGAGAGACTGCTGCTGGGCTGAAGCTCTTAGAAGAACCTAGAATCTCATCTGCTTGAAGACTCTCTTTTCTTTCACCAACAATGTTACCAGGAGATTTTAAAGATTTAAAGTTTTGGGTAGTATTTGCTGGCAAATTACTGTGAGTGAGATCATTTACAGAACATGAATTACTTGCCTCTGAATTAGAACTTTCTGGAAGCTGATCACTGGCACTCACAGCTTTATTTACTGCTGGGTTATCTATAAATATAGTAGTTTTTCTTTCTTGTTCCTCCAGGCTTATGGATGAAGCTGGGCCCTGAGTAGGAATTTTGCAGTCACGGTTAGGAGGTATATGCTCAAGGTGTTGACTATGACTGTTGTCTGACACAGTACATGAAGGAACTGTAGTCTCCATGGAGACATTATTTTCTTTTAAAGGTGTACCAAGATTCCTTTCTGATTTGCCAGATGATGGAATTAATAAACGTTCACCATCAATTTCTGTATCAAGGGCTGGAGGGTCAGGAGTTTTAGACTTCAGATTTAAAAGGCAAGTCTTTTCAGTTATTGGGTACCTAGGACTCTTGCTACTGATTGTTTCCTGTGTCTTTCCTTGCTTGTCAGGGAGCACGAGAGAATTAGTGCCAAGGAAACACTCTTTCTCCTGTGAAGCAGATGTTTTCTTCCACTGCTTCTTTGCTCTTCCTGGTAGTGTATTCTGCCCTTTCTTACCATCAGGGCTGCTGCTGACATGCAGAGATTGTTCTTGGATGTCACCTGCTCTTTGTGTATATAGTACTTCTTGTTGGTCATTTTTATGGCTAAAGGGCTGAGGTTCAACATCAAGTATGGTAGAGATGTTTTCTCCAGTTTCCTCATCAAGATGGTTGATTTGTAGCGTGCCACAAGGAGAGCCTTCATTTATAGGTTCTGAGAGGGGAAGTATGTATATATGAGATTCAATTAAGTCCACTCCCAGGTAGAGTCACAAGAGAATCAATAACAGACTCATCCAGAAACATACACATAGACATTCATATAGCATTATGGCACCGGGCATGATGGCCCAGGCAATCCAAGCACTACTGAGACTAAAGCAAAAGGACTGCCTTGAGTAAGAAACCACATGGGAAACATTATTAATAAGTAGCGGGCCATCTAGGGCCACATTAAAAAAATCATAACTAAAACTAAATTAAATAAAAGTTAAGTCAGGCATTGGTGGCGCACGCCTTTAATCCCAGCACTTGGGAGGCAGAGGCAGGCAGATCTCTGTGAATTTGAGGCCAGCCTGGTCTACAGAGTGAGTGCCAGGACAGCCTCCAAAGCTACACAGAGAAATCCTGCCTCAAAAAACCCAAATAAATTAATAAAAATGAAACTTAAAAAGTCATTTTTCCAATATTAAAACACTGACTGTAGTTTCTAAAATTTGAGGAGAAAAAGAGCAACTAAATAGACAATTCAACTTAAGACACAGGGTAATGTATAACGAGAATTTTGTATTCTTTAAGTCTACGGCTTATTATCCATGGGCTGTGAAAAAATAGCATCAGCCAACTGGGGAATGAATACAAACAAGTGTAAGTGAACAGGCTAATTTACCAGAGCGGCTTAGCTGTGGGGAGGTTTCCTGATGGGGCACACAATCTTCTATTGCTTTCTTAGAGTTCTTAACCTTCTCAGCTCTTTTGGCACGCTAGAGAAAACAAAAGCAGCCCGGAAAAAAAATCAATTTTCCTTAAAGCTTTATTACTATTAAGAACCTTTCTTCCCATTAGGTGTGGCGGTATATACCTGTAATCCTAGCACCCAGAAGGCCATGGTAGGATTGTGGCTTTATTCATTTTTATTATGTTTTTATTTATTGTGCGTGTGTGTACATACACTCTAATACCCTTGTGTCTTAGCATTTCAGTGGAGGTCAGAAGACAACATTCCTTCACCATGTTGGTCCTGGGTACTGAGCTCACTTTGATGAGCTTGGCATCAGGTAACTTTACCCTCTGAGCCATCTTGCTGGCCCTAGGTTTATGAGGTTAAGTTCACAATGGACTAGATAGTGAGGCCCTGTTTCAAAACCAAAAACCGAACCAAGACAACAAATCTTTTACAGTTTGTGCAACAGCTTAATTTGACAGAATTGATTCACTCACCTTAAGACGAGCAAGTGTCTTGCTGTATTCCTTTTTCAAAAATGCTAATTTTTCCTTCAACTGGAAGAAAAACATTAACAATTCTGAGCAGTGGAAAGGTAGAATCCGAGGGAAGGGATGTAGTACCTAGCAGGCCGGAGATGGCATGTGGTGTTCACTGTGTCGTGCTCAGCAGCATCCCCCAGCAAGACTCAGCACAGAGAAGAGCGGTTTTCTCAGTTCCTACAAAGTATCAAGCCTTCTCAGGATCTTCCCATGCTAATTTCCTGTCACCTGGAGCAACGCATCCCTTCCGCAATTCCTTTGGATTCTCAAGCCCCAATTTCCAGGATTACTTCCCTAGGATAGACTTCTAGGTTCTTGCTCAAACCCAGTTTAGAAACTCTCCCATTCCTCTGTGCTCTTCTCAAAATTTACTACCCCACACACTATGCTGTCCATTTTCTTTTGTGTCTTCCCATCACTTTGAGAAGCAGGGAGGGGTTGTTATACAGTCAATCAATCAATAGATGCTTTTTATCTATTAATGGCTCAGGAACTCCAGTAGTAACACCCCTCCCCGCCACTCCAGGGATACACACAAGTGTCAGGTATCTATTCTTGGTGCTTGAGCTACAGGGGGTTAAGACAATGTACTTGTAGTGAGGGATGCAGATAGTATGCAAGACAACAGGTAAGACTGCACATGGTAATAAATACCTAGATCAACCTGGGTGATATGAGTAGCTAGTTTACTGCTTCAGGAAGGGTCATCTTGGAGGCATTTCTGAGGGTGACCATTTACATCTAGATCTGAAGGAAAGAACTAAGCTTGGGGAAATAGGAGAAGTATAGTTATTTTAGGCACCACAAGTAGGAAAGTTTCATGGTGGAATGGATTCATATACTTGAAGATATGAAGAAGAAATCCAGTGAAAGAAGTAGGGGCTGTCACTGATGAGTTCCCAGCTAGGCACACAGCAGGCATTCCACAAAACTTTTGAAAATAAATTTAATAAGACTATGCCAAGTTATTAGACTCTCAAGGTTTAGACTGTCTTCTTGGATTCTGTGCTTGACAATATCTTTCAGCAGTAAAGCCACCTTCGTCTTTCTGCCCTTTAGGAACCTTTACACTGATACTCATCCTCCAGAAAATTGTTGGCTTTCTAGCCTCACTATATTCCTTTTAAAACAAAACAAATGGGTAGAGTGCTCATTTAGCATGCACAAAGCTTTGATCCTCATTATCGCATAAGCCCAGTTCTGTGGTAACTGTAATCCCAGCACTCGGGAGGTAGAGAAGAAGATCAGGGATCTAGGTCATCCTTAGCTAACTAGTAAATCCAAGACTAGCTTGGGATATGAGACCCTGTCTTAAAAACAACACAAGCAACAAAAAAAGCAGCAGAAATTGTTACAACAAAAGTTGCAGACAATGTTAACTTTTCTTAATTAATCACTTTACCCCCCTCAGTTTCCAGAGCATTCTGTGGACTCTAGTACTTCTGCATTAAAGTCGCCCAGTTCCCATCCATCTTCAGTCGCACAAACATAAAAACTGCTGACACTCTCATAAAGTGCTTCAGTTGGTTCTAAGAACTTTTATGACTTTAATGGCCATTAACTTGATTAGCACTCACAATAACAAATAGACTATTATATAATCACCTTCAATTTATAGACATGTAAAATGAACACAGAAGAAGCATTTCTCCAGGATGCTGCCATTTATAACTGCTCCATTTAAACCCCTATAGGAAGGGCCTAGAGCAGCTATTCTCAACCTGTGCAGGGAGACCCCTGGGTGGTGAAAAGATCCTTTCGCAGGGGTCACCAAAGGCCACCAGAAAACACAGATATTTACATTAGCAAAAATGAGGCAGCAACAAAAACAAGTCCATGGCTGGGGGGGGGGCACCACAACACAAGGAACTATATTAAAGGGCTGCAGCGTTGGGAAGGCTGAGAACCACTGTGCAGGAGTCTGTGCTCTCAACCTCTGTTGTTGTCTTGTCCTCAACCTTATCAATATGTGGGACTTAGCTTGTTTATTTGTAAATGATCTTTACTATCGATAGAAGGTAAGACAGGATAGGACAGACAAATTAATGTTACTTCTAATTTTGCATGGCAAGCACAAGAACCTGCAATCTTCAAGTCTTGGAGAAGGGTACTATATTGAGCCCTATTGAAACGAGAGTGCTTCCAGACTACAGACTACATGCATACACACACCTACTCATTATATCTAATATTTATATTTATCCTTCCCGTATCCCTGTTCCAACATGGGTCTTAAACACGGAGAAAACAGAAGTTGCAGAACCAACCAGAGCATACATTCTGAACACCTCCCTCTCCAATATATAAATAACTATTACCTTTGGAGGTCAAGACCCAATATACAAACACAAAAATGTCTGTTAAATACAAGACTGTTGGAAGACTTACGTGAGGGGGCAGAGGCAGGGTGGAAGAGGCAGAGGGTGTCAAGGGGTATTTTAGGTTTACCTATATTTAAAGTTTCACACCTAGTATTTATGCAATGTCACTGGAAGTTACGTGTTGCTAATTTGCATTTTACGGTCCGCCACGTGAGCAGTGCGCTAGTTTCAATGACTTCTCGTGGAGGGTAGGTCAGAGGACACTGCCTCCCACGGATTCAGGAACCAGGCTTTACGTCCTGGGACACGGGGTTAGAGCCCTGGGTCACCCTTCCCACAACCTGGGCACCTTTTCCTTCTCCGCACAGCTGAGGGGCTTCCCGGAGGGCTCTTCCATCCGGATGGAAGCCGAAAGCAGGGAGCAGCCGTCGCCAGCCTCGGGCCTGTGGTCACGGAGACCCAGCCGGACCTTCCTGGGCCCAGAAGGAATCCCGGGAAGGAACGAAGACCTAGCGCACCACCTGCGCGTGGCTGGCTGGCCCACCCGGATCCCGCGCGCTACCCACGGCGGCCAATTAAAACCGCCGCTCGCTCTGCGCATGCGCTTGCGCAGCGGAGCCCTTCACGTGACGGCGCGGGTCTGTCTAGAGGAGAGTCGAGCAGTCGATGAGAGTTGAGGGCGCGGATAGCGGAAGTGGACAGGCAGCCGGAAGTAGCTGGAGTCACAGTCGGCTTGAGCTCCTGACAGGATCCCGAGGTTCGAAGAGGAGGAGGCAGCCATGGAATTGGGCGAGCTGCTGTACAACAAGTCCGAGTACATCGAGACGGTGAGCGTGTGCAGACCCTTTTCTCGCTGGCCGCCCAGCTGCCCCTGGAGGACAGGACGGCCGCCCCTCCCGTCCCTGCTTCACCCGCCCCTGCTCTCTCAGTCTGTTCTTTGGGGATGATGTAGAGACGCTTTGTTTTCTTCTGATGTTGTTATTTAGTCCGTGCATGCATGAATGAAGCTCTCCTTCCGTCCGTCCCCCACCCTCTCTCTCTCTCTCACCCTTCCCTCTCGTTATGCATATATATTTATGTGTGTGCGTATACACACACACCTGGATTTCCTGTAGAGAGAATGTCTTCCGGAATACACAATATAGCCTGTTCCTTCTGATACTAACTAAAGTTTCAGGCTTCAGACCTCTTAAAAAATACTATTTCACAATCTACTGACGTGTTAAAAAGTTGTTTCTAATCGTCAGCTCTTGGTAACGTGTAAAGTGCTGGGAACAAGCAGTGCGGCTATTAGGGTTACGCATTACTTTTCTGTGTGTCCTTACAACTCTGTGGACTTGGGAAAGTCATTTTCCTCATTTAGGGCTGTGAAACTGTTGTAGAGAGCTGGGGTTTGAATGCACATCTGTCATTAGATACAAATCCTCAACCCATTTCTAGAACGTTTAGTTCCTTGGCCACCCTTGGCTCTTTGGCTCTTTGGATTCAGCCCCTCTTACATGTTTTGGAGTACTGAGCAGTCCTATCATTAAGTCACACCCCCCACCCTTTCCTCCCCTTCCTGCCCCTTCTCTTCCTTGTCTGTAATTTCTTTCTGTGATCATCTCAGTTTGTAGTCCAGTCTAACCCCAAATTCATAATCATCCTGCTCAGAGCTGGGACAGTAGGGGTGCAGTACCACACTCAGCCCTCATTCCTTTTTAGACGGCACTCCATTTAAAGTAATTTTTCTCTGCAATTCGAACTTTTTTTGATGGAGATGGTAGCCCAGAAATCTGAGCTTTTTCTGTTTGCTTTCAGGCATCAGGGAACAAAGTTAGTCGCCAGTCTGTTTTGTGTGGAAGCCAGAACATCGTTCTCAATGGCAAGGTAAAGTACACAGTCAGCTCCAGAGTGCATACCTTTTCTCATCACCACATTAGCGGGGTCTGCAAATGTCGCCGTGTCTCCAGTTTGTTGCACATTTCCGGTTCTATTTGTTTTTTCTCCAAATTGGATTTAGTGAATGCACAAAAATGATAAATGAGGAGAAGCCAGGAGACTGGAAAGAGGCCTACTAGATGGGAATAGAGACGTTTTAGGGAAGAAGCGTGAGAGAGCAGTGTAACACAGGAGACGTGAAAGAGGAGGGCACTGTAGACAGAGGAGCAGGGGCAGGCAGATGGAGAGGGGAGGGAAGGGAAGGAATCTCGTCTCAACTGAATAGGAACTTTTTTCATCATATTCTTCAGTACCGTATTTAGATAGGATTTACATTGTATGAAATATTATGAATAAAACGTGTCAGGGTAGGGGAAGGAACAGAATCCTTTTATTATACCTGAACAAAATACAATGGTACATTTTTCTGCCTTGTTACATTGAGCCCTGGATTACTGGACCCAAAACGTAAAGATGCAATAAAAGTCAGGGAAATGCTCAGCACTTGGGGAGATGCAACAGGAGGAGCACACCAAGGTTCAGGTTACCTTTGACTACATAGTGAGCTCCAGATCATCCTCAGGGACGTAAGACCCCATCTCAAACAAAGTAAGCGGGGAGTACATGAGCAATGTATGCTGACGTTGTTATTACGGAGTGAGAGTACAGACCTGTATTACTAGAGCTTCTGACTTTTTTCAAAAGGAACTGGAAATGTGGTGACATGTGGTGGCGCAGCCTGTGTGGAAGCAGATAGGACAGTCTCTGACCATGTCTCCAAGGCTCAGGCGACCTCAGATGAATCTGAGTAACTCTAAACCATAGGTCTCAACCTGTGGGTCACAAATCAGATATTTACCTTACGATTCATAACAGTAGCAAGTTACAGTTATGAAGTAGCATCGAGATAATTTTATGATTGGGGTCACCACAGCATGGGGAACTGTGGTGATATACTATTTATGATCTAGTGAAGATTGCCTGAAGGATCAGAATGCACAGCCAGAGTCACTCACTAGTCAGCCATAGAAGCTGGGCAGTGGTGGCATACACCTTTAATCCCAGGAGACAGAGGCAGATGGATCTCTCTGAGTTCAAGGCCACCCAGGGCTACATGAGAGTGAATCAGTCTAAAAGAGACCTGTTTAATCCCAGCACTAGAGAGTATATAAGGTGCTCAGTGCAGTCTCAGAGAGCCATCAAGCATTCTGAGGCTTGCTGGACAACAGGCGGTCTGAGTGAATCTGAGGAGCAGTGAAGTTGGGAACAATCTGAGCATTGGTAGAAGTGAGAACTCTAGTGGCTTGACTGCTTTGCTTCTCTGATCTTCAGTATCTGTCTCTGGGCTTTTATTATTCGTTTATTAAAAGGGTGACAGCATTAGGAAGATTGAGAACCACTGCTCTAAGCGGGTACGTTACCTGGTCTACCATATGCATTCTCAGGGTGTGCTCACTCAGTGAGTCATATCTGTGGAGTAGTAAGATCAAAGCTTACATTGTGTTGCAGTCAAGCCGCCAGTTTTCTTTCACCGTACAGTTGCCCCTTTTATAGAACATTTGACGGCATGAACCATGACACAATGCTTAGTGTCCTGTTCACTATCTTTTTTTTTTTTTTTTTTTTTTTTTTTGGTTTTTACGAGACAGGGTTTCTCTGTATTATTTTGGAGGCTGTCGGTCCAGCCCAGCCTCGAACTCACAGAGATCCGCCTGCCTCTGCCTCCCGAGTGCTGGGATTAAAGGCGTGTGCCACCACCGCCTGGTCTGTTCACTATCTTTTTATGTTACTTTTAGGCTACACTGGTACATTTAAAATGTGTTTTGCTTTATAGACCATTGTAATGAATGACTGCATCATCCGAGGAGATCTGGCAAATGTAAGAGTTGGACGTCACTGTGTTGTAAAAAGCCGTAGTGTCATAAGGCCACCATTCAAGAAATTCAGTAAAGGGTATGTGATTTAATTACCTATTTCCAGTCCCAGGCTCCATACTGTCCATGGTGATACTGTCCATGTCCTTGTGTTTAGATGTCTAGTGAGAAGGTCTATCCTGTTTGGTGGGGCACTGAATAAAGAGTTCAAAATAATGAACACTACTCTGGTTGTAACCTTGTTCAGAATTGGTTGTCAGAAGTAGAATAGTCCCGTCTACAGCCATACTACCCTGAGTATGGCCAAATCACCCTGAACGTGCCTGATCTCCTCAGATCTCAGAAACTAAGCAGGGTTGGACCTAGTTAGTACTTGGATGGGAGAAGTAGAATAGTCCCTGTGAGATATAGAGAAATAAAACATAAATAATAAAGTATGAGAAAAAGGTGAAAATGCATGGTGTCATACAAGCCATACCAATGAGTGCTACCTGAAACATTTGTGCTCAGGTTTGAACTACTTTATATTATAAATTCTAATATCTTTACATACGAAGTGTCTTAGTTAGGGCTTCTATGGTTGTGATGAAACACTATGACCATAAAGCAAGTTGGGGAGGAAAGGGTTTATTTGGCTTACACTTCAGCATTGCTGGTCATCACGGAAAGAAGTCAGGACAGGAGCTCAAACAGGGCAGTATCCTGGAGGCAGCAGCTAATAATTCAGAGGCTATGGAGCAGTACTGCTTACTGGCTTGCTTCCCATGGCTTGCTCAGCATACTTTTTTTTTTTTGATAGAATTCAGGACTGCCTATCCAGCGATGGCACCACACACCATGGGCTGAGCCTCCCCCATTGGTTACTAATTGAGAAAAAGGCCTTACAGCTGGATCTCATGGAGACATTTCTTCAACTGAGTCCTTCCGCTCTGAGGACTCTAGCATGTATCAAGTTGACACACAAAGCTAGCTAGTACACTCAGTTTGCTGCTATTAGAGGAACATACTGATTTAATTACTGAAAATAAACTTTAGTGTTTTTCAATAGTTATCCCTTAACATGTAAGTACAAGATTAGTTATGTCTTTGGGTTTCATATTAGAATGTTGGGCTTTGAGACTGGAGAGATGGCTCAGCAGTTAAGAGGACCACTGCTCTTGCAAATGACCTGGGTGGCTTACAGCTGCCTGTTGTCCCAGTTCTAAGGGACTAGTTTTTTCTTCTGGCTTCCTTGGACTTTGGTGTGCATGTGGTATACATAAACTCATGCAAACAAATACACATATAGACAAATCTTTAAAAAAAAGATTGTTGGGTTTTAAAAATTGCAGTTTGAGTTTCTGACTTGAGTTTCATTCAAAGAAAAAAATTGGTCAATATGTTTTGGCTTGGGATTCAGACAGGTTTTTCCAGTAGTTCCTTAAATGGCTGTAAACATACCTGTCATTTTATACTAAGTATTTATGCAAAGTGGCTTTCAATTATAAAATTAGAATGGCAGTCAACTCTTGAATAGCAGAGAAGATGCTCTGTTTTGCATTATCAAATATCCAGGCAAGATTTAATTATTTTTTTATTGTTGTTGTTTTGGATTTTGAGACAGGGTTTCTATGTATAGCCTTGGCTTTCTGAAACTCTCTGTGTAGACCAGGCTGACCCAGACTCACAGATATCCACCTGTCTCTGCCACCCAAGTGCTGGGATTAAAGGCATGTGCCACCACTGCCCGGCTAAAATAAATGAACATACCACACATGCACATTTGTTTTTGTCTTTAATCATGGTAAAATTATATGTATACCAAAGGGTTGCTTTAAAATAAATGTCTATGATTCATAATGAGATTGGACACATACATACCAGTATGTACATAAAGCTCTTAATGATCTACTACCAGTAAAAGTGTGTGTGTGTATGGTGTGTGTGTGTGGTGGTCTGTGTAGCTCCTTGAACCCCCTAATTTTCTTCCCTTAACCACTTAACATTTCATTAGTAAGCCTATTCTATATACTTGTATATCTGGGTTTACATAAAAAACAATTTCTTGGGTAAAGAGGGGTCAGGAATAGAAACAGTTTAAGAGGACTTGCTGTAGACTGCCTTGTGATCAAGGAATTCATTGTTGCACAAGAGGAAGAGACTTAAAATACTAAAAATGAACAAAGTTCAAGTAAATCTTCAGTCTTAAATAATGATGACTGACACATTTTTCTTGTAGAATATGGTTGGAAGAATTAGTGGGCAAACAACTACTTTATATCTTATCTAGGCCACAGATTTAAAATATGAGCTAGGGTCTAGAGAGATGGCTCAGTGGTTAAGAGTACTTACTGCTCTATCACAGGACCAGGTTCAGATCCCAGCATCCACATTAGGTAGTCTGTAACTCTGACTCCAAGAAATCCACTGCTCCCTTATGGTCTCTATAGGTAGCCAGAAACACATATGCACACAAGCGCACACACAAACAAATCTTTTTAACAAAAATCATGGTCTGATAAATGCTATTATAGAAACATTGTCAGTAATATTTGAGGAATGGAATGATGTTTGACATCTGGAAGAAGCTTGGTCAACTCCTATTCATCCTGTAGGTCTTGACTTAAATACAATCTTTTTCTTTTTTCTAAGACAGGCTTTCCCTATGTAGCTTTGGCTGTCTTGGAACTCAGAGAGATCTATGAGACCAGACTGGTCTTGAACTCACAGAGATCTGCCTGCCTCTGCCTCCCAAGTGGTGGGATTAAAGGTATGAGCCACATCTGGCTTATAATTCCACTCTCTATTAGGCTTTCCCCAAAGCCCCTGTCTAAGTAAAGTATCCTTGTTATGTACTGTCACAACCTTTTATCACAGCTGTAACTAATTATGTGTGTAGTCCCTTACTTGGTCTGTTCTCTTGATTGTACAATCCTCATGCAATGCATCTGTTTTGCTTACTTTGTATCCCCGGTTCCTGGCAAAGAGTCTGGCACACAGTAGGAACTCAGTAAATATGGTAGATGACTAAAGTTTAAGAATGATGGGAGCTAAAACAATTTTTTAAGATCTGAGAATGTAGAGTAATTGTTTAGCATGTATAAGGCCCTACCTAGGTTCAGTTCCAGCACTACATGAACAGGGTATGGTGGCACACAGCTCTAGTTCAGAGGTAGGAGGATTGGATGTTCAAGGTCATCTTCTGTTATAGCAAATTGAAGGCCAGGTGGGCTATATGAAACCCTGTTCTCTTCCCTAGGCGCCCCCCTTCCCCCCGTTTTTGTTTTGTTTTGTTTTTTGGTTGTTTTGTTGTTCTTTGCTATGTGTTGGGCACCAAAACATAGTCTATGAACTTGTCAGTCATGGAAACAGATTACTAAACATGTCTGTGAGAAAGCAGGAATGGGTCAGCATCTACTCATTTTTCTTTGCTTTGAAGATCCTACTCCTGCTTTACTGTTTCCCTGTACAACTCACTAATTCTGATTCTGAGTTATTTGCCTGATTCCTGGGTTTTAACATTTGGAATTTCAATGACCAGAGGGTTCTTTCCTTGCAAGTCTTATTAAGACATGACAAAAACTGAGGGTGTGGTACATGCCTGTAATCCCACTGCTGAGGAAGCTGAGTCAGGAGGAGCAAAGGTTTGAGGCCATCTTGGCCTATGTGACAAATTCTAGGTTATCTTGGGCAACATAGAAAGAGTCTGCCTGTAAAGGCCAAACCTAGTGACAAACACCTATAATCCCAGAGCTCAAGAAACAGAGGCAAAAGGATCTCAGTGAGTTTGAGGCCAGCCTGCTTTACATATCGAGCTCCAGGATAGTCAGGACTACAAAGAGAGACCCTGTCTCAAAACAAAAGAGTCTCTCTGTAAATAAATAAATGCTGAGATTATGATCTGTAGTTCTGTAAACTTTAACCCAAACTCCGTCACCTTGACCTTTCCTTGTTTGTCTTCTTTTCCTTTTTAGTGTTGCATTCTTTCCTCTACATATTGGGGACCATGTCTTTATTGAGGAAGACTGTGTGGTCAACGCTGCTCAGATCGGTTCTTATGTTCACGTTGGGAAGAACTGTGTGATTGTGAGTATATAACTCACTCAACTAAGCAGCATCATTTCCTTTCTCTCTTTCCCCATCCCATCTGTGGGACTCTGTCCCTAGAGCAGGGAGAGGAGTCATTTCCAGTTTCCTGGGTTTAGGTTTTTCTTACTGTATTTGGAGTTTTTTCCCCAAGCACTAATAGTAATGGTTAGTGGGCTGGGTAGCTAACTCACTGGTTGAGTGCTCATGTAGTTTATATGAGGCTCTGGATTTGATTCTTCAACACTGCAAAGATATAAACACACATCCAAAATAAAACCAAGTAATAATGGCTAGCCTTTATTTGGGGCTATCTATGCGTGTATGGGGCTCCTGAGGTTAAGGAGATAGCTCAATTGATAAAGCACCCATCATGCAAGAATGAGAACCTGTGTTTGATCCCTTAAGCCCATGTAAAGAGCCTGACGTGGTATCATATACTTAAGATCCCGGCACTGGGAAGGCAGAAACAGGCAGATGCCTGGGTCTCTCTGTCTGGCCAGCCAGCCTACTTGGTAAGCACCAGAGCAGTGAGGGACCCTGTCTCACAAAAAACAAGGTGGATGGTGCCTGAGGACCAACACTGCAGGTTGATCTCTGGTTTCTATATGAATGTGCACACACATCTATCCCAGCATGAACATATATATACATGTATTCACATATAAATGTATATACACACAAAATCTTTTCCCTCAGTTAATTCATTTTATATTCATAGCCATAAAAGGCTTTTAGTACTGTTATCATTCCTGTTTGCTGATGAGAGGATTGAGAACTATAGATATTAAAGAATTTGACAAAGGTAGTCAGTTAGAGTTAGGATTTAAATACATTTAATAGCTGTGCTGCCACATGGGCTCTTTGATGCCTTGTCTCAGTGTGATAAGGATGAAGGATATGATGGGCAGATTGAAACTGGCATGGAAGACAGTGGTAGCTTGGGCATTTCAGGAGAGGGATTGTTGTGTGCAAGAGTCAGTGTGTCTATTGTTAGGGTGTGCCCTGCATGTTGTACAGGGTACAGACAGGCCCCCCAGTTCAGCAGCACCTGAAAGATCCTGGTCCATAGAAGCACAGACATAAGTTTGTTTACATAGTCAAGGTTTGGCTTTCTTGCTGTTTGGTAGATGAAGAGTTTGATGTTTCTTGGGGTTTCTGAGAATCATGTGTGGTGATACATTGTTTATGATCTAATAAAGCCACTGAAGATCAGAGAAGCAAAGCAGCCAGTCTACCAGAGAACTCTTAACTCTACCAGGTCTGGGGTGATCCTGACATCAATGTGGCTGGAGACTAATTGCCCAAGATTGAATACTGAATACTCTGCTCCATCTTATATACCTCTCTTGTGCTGGGATTAAAGATGTAAACTCTGTTTCTCTTTTAGACTGATTCATTCTCATGTAGCTCTAGGTAGCCTTGAACTCACAGAGATCCAACTACCTCTGTCTCCTGAGTACTGGGATTAAAGGTGTGCGCCACCACTGGGCTAGCTGTGGCTAGCTTTGCATTCTGAATTTCAGTGGCTTTATTAGATCATAAACAATATTCCTCCTTTTTGTCTAATAAAAAAGGCTATAACTGCCGGGTGTTGGTGGCCCACGCCTTTAATCCCAGCACTCGGGAGGCAGAGGCAGGCGGATCTCTGTGAGTTCGAGACCAGCCTGGACTACCAAGCGAGTTCCAGGACAGCCTCCAAAGCCACAGAGAAACCTTGTCTCAAAAAAACCAAAAAAAAAAAAAAAAGCCTATAACTAATTAAGAAAAATCATATACAATAAGTACAATAAGTATAAACAATGTATACAGCCAATAAGTACATCAACATTGTCTAGTTCACTTGCATGTAATGAATTCAGATAAAACACTCCATTATCAGTGTGTACCACCATTGCCCAGCTTCCATGGCTGTGGCTGCTTAGCTTCTCTGATCTTCAGTGGCTTCATTAGATCATAAACAATGTATTACCCAGTCAGGATCTGGTTGAGAATGTTAATAACCAAAGTTTCTCTGCCTAAAGTCTAGAGAAGATATTTCCTGTATTTAGATGTGTACTCAGACTAGAAGTATAGTAAGAGCCAAGTTCTCCCTCCCCAAAGTGCAAATCAACTCTCTGCCCCATATAAGCGTCAGATGTTGAAGTATCGAAACCCATGCAGTTCACAGTCTAGGAGCCACAAGACTCAGATTGGTGGTCAGTTCAGGGGATGCTCATGTTGATATGAGAGTAATTCTAACTGGAGTTTACTTAGAGACGGGGAGTGATTATTCTGTCACATACTTCAAAGGAATTTTTTTTAAAGATCATTTATTATATTCTGCCTGCATGTATGCCTGCAGGCCAGAAGATGGCACAAGATCTCATTACAGATGGTTGTGAGCTACCATGTAGTTGCTGGGAATTGAACTCTGGCCCTTTGGAAGAACAGGCAGTGCTCTTAACCTCTGAGCCATCTCTCCAGCAGAGACAAAGTTCATGTTAAAGAAAGGATAAAAAGGTTGATCTCAAATAGAAGAAAGGAGAATAGTGATTAAAGGAAGAATAGAAGGAGATGTAATAAGGGCACTAAAATACAGCTTAGTAAGGAAGATGTTCTAGTAGAGTAGCCACAGTTCACAACTTACTGTATACTGATGAACCTGAAGAGAGGCATGTGAAGGCTTGAAACATGAAGTGATAAGACAGTCAAAATTCCAATTGCATTGACTTGATCAGCACTAATTAGTACTGAAGTATCACACTGTAACTTACAAATACATAGTTATTACACACTGGTTATTACCTACTGCTGTCAGAAATTGAACCCAGGAGCATGGACTGGAGAGATGGCTCAGCCGTTAAAGGCTAGGCTCACAACCAAAAATATAAGAAATTGAACCCAAGGCCATGTATATGCCAGGCGAGCATTCTATCCTGAGCTATATTCTAACCCTTAAAACATATACTTTTTTTAAAGTTTAAGACAGGGACTGGCTAAGTTATTTGGACTAACCTGAACTTGGTATGGTCTGGACTGGCCTTGCGTTTGTGCCACTGCTGTCCTAGTCCTCCAGTAGCTGAGTTATAGGCCGGTTCCACCATTGCTGACTAGATATTCAGCTGTTTGTACCTCTTTTAAGAGTGCCACTAATGACCTCACTGAGAGTGTGAGCAGTACTTGTTTACCCTCGACACATCTTTTAGGCTTTCTCTAAAGTTTTAGAACTGTAGACTCAGCTAAAGCCTAACTGCCTCCATGGCACATAGACTTTCCTAGAGTGTCCTGTGTGATAGTCTAACGATGGCTTGCTGTGTGAAGGGGTAAATCAGAATTGTCATGTGCCAGAAGGCAAAGCTTAGCAAGCAGTATCCTATGCATTACTGTGCTGTCAGCTTTACGCTTGTTGCCGGATTGGTAGCATTGCTGTTGGTTTGACTTTATATCCTGCTGTCTAGGTGAGGAAATGAAGGCTCAGTGATGCTAATTTGGCTTACATAAAATTATCCAGGTTCCTATAACATGAGCTGCATAGCTACAGTTCCGATTCCTCCTTGGAGGAAGAATGAAGAAGCCTTTTATTGGTATATATAGTTTTTAAGTATCACCAATTCACTCATGTCTTAAAATTATCAGCATTCTTCATATTGCTGTGAATTAGTCCTTGTACTCAGAATGTTCCTGGAATTCAGCTAATCTATTTCTCCAAGTAAGTGGGATGGCCAACTAGTGGACAAAGCAGACTGCAGGGTACATAGTGGCTGGCAGTAAGTAGTGAGACGATTCCTTCCCTCTGTTTTTTCCTAGGGCCATTTGTCTGTGGATCCCAACTTACTATGCACATTCTGTTCTCATGTGCTTAGCTTGGGAATTAGGAGTGTAGGCATATCCACAGCCTTAGAGATAACATCACCTTGTTCATCAGGGGAGATAGACATTTGGTATCTGTGAAGGTACCATAGCTAATTCATGAATTAGAACTTCCAGGGAAGAATGAAGATCTGTACTTCAGCCTGCTTCTGAGCCAGATACACCAACTGTTGCCAGTCCTCTTGTCCATCCGGATGGAGGATGCTTAACCATTTATGAAATTCAGATATTGCAAATAGAAGCCTTTAATTTTTTTTTTTTTAATTTAGCCAGGTATGGTGGTACTTGCCTTTAATCCCAGCACTGGGGGAGAGTTGGTGATTAGAGGCAGGTGGATCTCTGTGAGTTGTGAGGACAGCCTGGTCTACAAAGCAAGTTCCAGGACAGCCAGGGCTGTTACACAGAGAAACCCTGTCTCTAAAATAAAATATATATGCAATGTTATGTGTATGGGTATTTGTCTACATGTATATCTGTGCACTGCATGCCTCCCAGGTAAATTCAGAGGTCAGAAAAGGATGTAAGATTTGCTGGAACTGTAGTTTCAGACTGTTGAGTGCTGAGAATAAAATCTGGGTCCTTTGGAAAAGAATCCAGTGCTTTTAACTGCTGCCATCTCTGCAGCCCTATGGGTTTTGTTTTTGTTTTTGTTTTTGTTTTGAGACAGGGTCTCATTAGTAGCTGGTCTGGAACTCTGTAGACCAGGCTGACTTGAAACTTAAAGAGATCTGCTTGCCTGTGCTTCCTAAGCTCTGGGATTAAAGTAGGCCCCTACCATTTCCGGTGGCAGAAGCTTTTTTAAAAAATTCATTTAGGGGGCCGGGCCAGTGGTGGTGCACACATTTAATCCCAGCACTTGGGAGTCAGAGGCAGGAGGATCTCTGTGAGCTCGAGGTCAGCCTGATCTACAGAGCAAGTGCCAGGATAGGCTCCAAAGCTACACAGAGAAACCCTGTCTCAAAAAAAATAAAAATAAAAATAAAAAATAAACAAAAAACCAAACAAAAAAATTATTTAGGGAAGCCGGAGAAATGGCTCAGCACTGGCTGTTTATGTTTCTACATTCTCAGCTAGATATTTTTTTAAATCAGATTGTCTAATCTCATTTTTCCTCTGTGTTTTACTACCCAAATTTTTGTCAAAATGTTTTTCTCAGGACACAGGTGAATTTATAAGTCCTAGTAAAGATAGCTTTAAGGAGCTGACTCAGTGGGTAGTGTTTTCTGTGTAAGGCAAAGGATCTGAGCTTTAGTCTCAAGCACCCGTGTAGAAAGCTGGGCATAGTGGCACATGCCTGTAACCTTAGTGCTGAGGAGAGGTGGAGACAGCGCTGGGGGCTCATTGGCTAGGTGGTCTAGCTAGAACAGTGAGTTGTAGGCTCAGTGAAAGAAATGAATTTGAAAAGTACCACTTACCTGATTCCAAAAAAAACCAAAACCCTCAAATACAACAACAAAAAAACTTGTGACCTCCATGGATATACATGGGTGAACACATTAGCACACACACAATTTAAAAAGATAGTTAATAAAGAGTGAAACTTTGAGCTAGGCAGTGGTAGCATAGGCTTTTAATTACAGCACTTAAGAGGCAGAGACAGACAGATGTCTGAGTTCAAGGACAATTTGGTCTATACAGTGAGTTCCAGGACAGCCAGGATATAGAGAGAAACCCTGTCTCAAAACAAAACAAACAAAAAAGAGTAAACTTTGATCTGAGTATCCTAAGGCATAGGTTTAAATAGTATATATAGCTTTTTCCTTAGCCTAACAAACAAGTGAGTTTTTCCATGCCGTATTTCTTGCCTTTAAAACACTATGGATTATGGAAGAATTAGAAAAAATGGTAACACTGTATGAAGTTAAACTTAAGGTTTAGTCCAGATATTCAAAAACTATCTCCTGTTGATAAACAAATTGACTAATACCTTCTATTTAAGAAAATTTGTCCAGAAAACAGACAAGTAGCCCGTAAACTGGCTGGTTTCCAAGCAGATGTGTTAGGTTAGCTAATATAAACTGGGGGTCTAGAGGTGGATCCTGTTATTGTGCTCATGTGATCCAAGGGTTCATCTGATACTATGAAAACAAGTCTTCATCCCTTTTCTCTTTCCTCTGGAGGTCACTTCCTGGCAAGGATAAGATGCTGTGGACATCCATCCTGTCTTTTGGGAACTCTGCTGGAAAGTGCTTCATTTCCCTGTCACCCCAGCAGAAACCCAAGGTTGAGGTTCGTTAGACTAAGTTGGCTCATGATCCAGTTCTCTGAAGCAGTCATTGGTCAAGCATGGAGTCTGTGTGTGGACTTGAGGTTAAGCATGTGGACCAAGACAGGGGTGGATAGTGCCCAATGCAAAAAGATTTCTGTTACCAGAAGAAAAGGCAGCAAAACAACAGCTGTCACTAGGTCAAATAGAAGAGAAAAAATGGAACTCTGAGAAGACAAAGGTTTCTCTAGTGTCTAATGCCTAAGACAATCTGTACTGACTGTAAACATACAACCCTTCCTCATGTGTGCCTATGTGCACATACACCATTTACTCCTCCTTGTCAGATTCCACATGAAGGGTATAATTTCAACCAAACATCCTGTCATTGTCCCTGGCTCTCTTGCTATTATAAGATATTATGATTGCCTAGATGTGTTGGTGTTTGGCCTTAATCCCAGCACTTCAGAGGTAGAAGCAGGCAGATCTCTATGTTCGAGGCCAGCCTGGTCTATATAGCAAATTCCAGGCTAAGTGGGGCTACAATAATGAGACACTGTCATAAAAATACAATGAATAGAGAAGGTAGAGAACAGCCTTCTATACAGAAAACTAAACAAGCTTTATTCCCATGTCTTGGTCAGTTCCTAACAATAAGATTTTAATTTCAGGGGCGCCGATGTGTCTTGAAAGACTGCTGCAAAATTCTTGACAATACAGTATTACCTCCAGAAACTGTGGTCCCACCATTCACCGTCTTCTCAGGCTGCCCAGGTAACGTTAATGTTAATGTCTGTTTCAGCCTCCTTAAAACTTTTCCATTACTAAAATAATGGAAAACTTTAGACTCTGATATGTGAAAAGGCATATAAATAAGTTACTTTTGGTGGTGGTGGTATTTGTTTTTGTTTTTTGTTTTTTCCAAGACAGGATTTCTCTGTGTAGCTTTGGAGCCTGTCCTAAAACTGGTACTATAGATCAGACTGGCCTTGAACTCAGAGATCCACCTGCTTCTGCCTCGGAGTGCTGGGATTAAAGGCGTGTGTCACCACTGCCTTGGGACGGGGTCTCACTGTGTAGCCTTGGCTGGCCTAGAATTCACTATGTGTATACTAAGATGCCCCTGAACTGGAAGAGATGTGCTTACATGTGCCTCCTAGTGCTGAGATTAAAGGCATGCACCACCACATCCAGTGAACAAGCTGTGTTTTGAATGAATAACTGGATTTACAAGAAAAAAAGGAAATTATTAGAATCAAAAAAGAAATGAGATCCAAGCTGAAAGACTGCAGTATTCAATGCTGACTTCATATCAGAGTGATTTAAAATATAGTAGTTTTGTGGGGATAGGAGATAAAGCTTAAATCCACACATGGCAGAGAGAGTCTCAATACCTTTGAAGGGTTTCCCCTCAAGGTTGCTGTAGGGCTGGAGAGATGGCTCAGTGATTAAGAGCACTGAGTGCTCTTCCACAGGACTTGGGTTCAATTCCCAGCACTCACATAGCTGCTCAAATTTCTGTATCTCCATTTCCAGGGGATTCAGTTCCCTTTTCTGACCTCTGTAGTTACCAGGCACACACAAGGTAAACACCCATAGATATAAAAATAAATAGCCTTTAGGAAAAAAGGTTGCTATGGAACAAATCTGCCACCAGCACATGGTAAGGACAAAGAAGCTTTTCTCTCTTGGCCTGGGCTGTGAGTGGACAAAGGGGAAATATCTTTTTAGAGATTTGTGTGCGTCATCTTTTTTTTTTTTTTTTCTGAGACAGGGTTTCTCTGTATTGTTTTGGAAGCTGCCCTGGAACTCGCTCTGTAGACCAGGCTGGCCTTGAACTCAGAGAGATCTGCCTGCCTCTGCCTCCCGGGTGCTGGGATTAAAGGTGTGAGCCACCAACACCCCAAGTGCTTCATCTTTTTAATGTATTCAAATTCTTTAGTACCAACTTCTTATGGTCATTGAACACTAATGTCAGAGTGATTTAAAATATAGTACTTTTGTGGAGAAAGGAGATAAAGCCACACACAGCAGAGGAACCACCCTGGTTTTTTAGGTGAAATAATAAAAGCAATTTTTGAAAAGGCCCAGCTTTGTGGAGCCATCTAGATCTCTGTATATGAGGAAACTGAGATTGGAAGGTGGGCTGTCCCCAGTGTCAAAGCCTTGTCCAGCACCAAAAGACCCCTCGTGAAAACATCTGTGTTGCTTTTGAGTAGTTTCACAAATAAATGCCAGACATAGGGTACTTTATTGGCACTTCCATCTTTGAATTCAGACATGTGGGCTTGCAGGGAACCTGGCACATTTGTGAGAGCTACATGAGATAAAATTGAGCCAGGAAGAAAAAAAGAAATGAGAACCAGGATGAATCTTTTTTTTTTTTTTTTTCCGTTTTTTTGAGACAGGGTTTCTCTGTGACTTTGGAGGCTGTCCTGGAACTAGCTCTTGTACACCAGGCTGGCCTTGAACTTCAGAGAGCCTCCTGCCTCTGCCTCTGCCTCTGCCTCCCGAGTGTTAAAGGTGTGTGCCACCAATGCCCAGCCAGTATGAATCTTGATCAGAAGCCACGAGCTCTGCTGCTACTGCAGCCATGTAGATAATGCAGTAATTGAAGTCATAGCCAATCATGGCTGTTTGACATGGCACTGAGAGATGAAATCTGATGTTTAAGGAACAGCTGAAAATGGGACCACTTGCAGAGGCCTGGGTTTGATTCTCAGCACCCACATAACTCACAGCCATGCATAAATTCACTTCCAGGGGATCCAAAACCCTCTTCTGACTTCCTTGGACACCAGTTGTGCACATGGTGCACACACATGCATGCAGGCAAAATATTTATACACATTAAAATTTTTTGAGCCAGTTGAGGTAGCGCCTTCCTTTAATCCCAACACTGGAGACGGAGGCAGGCAGATCTTTATGAGTTTGGACCTGCCTGGTATGCATGGTGAGTGCCGGGACTAATAGAGACCCTGGCTCAAACAAACAAAACAAAACAGGACAAAAATACTGTGAAGTTTAAACATGTTTACAGACCTAACATGCACTTTTTAATGAGAGCGCCTATGAGAAATTTATGAGTTTTTTTGTTTTACATAATACCCAATACATTTTGTATAAATATGTAAAATATGTGTACTTATATGTTTGAATGGAAAATGTAGGTATTTGAAACTGCATCTATATAAATGAAACCAAACTATTACTCTGTACTGCTCAGAAACTATCATTTATTTAGCAACATACCTTGGGCAGCTTTTCAGATAGTATATAAAGAGCCACATCATTCCTCTCAAGTGTTACGGGTTTAACACACTGCATAGGTGAGTTTACTACAAGACATTGAATCAGTCCCATAGTATAACAGGCACTATTAGAAACTGCTGTCTTGACACTCTTTTACGTATATTGAGAAATTGGACACAGTTATCTCTGGCATACATTCTTAGAAGCTGACTTTATGGGCCACAAGATATGAACCTTGAAAACTTAGCTGGCTATTTATTATTTTACGTGTATGTGTCTTTTCCTGCATATATCTATACTACAGGCATGCAGCACCCAGATCTGGAGTTACAGGTGGTTGTTAACTGCCATGTGGGTGCTGGAACTGAAACTCACACTTCTACAAGGTTAGTGCTCTTAACTGCCAAGACATCTCTTTAGTCCTGTGCTAGCTATTTTTAAAGTGTCCTTCAAAACATTGCATGATAGGACTGGAGAGATGGCTCAGTAGTTAAGAGCATTGGCTGCACTTTCAGAGGACCTGAGTTCATTTCTCACTACCCACATGGCAGCTCACAATTGGAACTAACTCTCCAGTTCCAGGGAGTCCAACACCCTTATATGGATGAATGTAGGCAAAACACCAATGCACATAAAAAAATCTACAGAGTAAGTTCCAGGACATCGCAGAGAAACCCTGTCTCAAAACAAACAAACAAACAAACAAACAAAATCTGCATGAGTGGAGACATTGGCTCAGAGTACCTGGTTCAGATTTTTTTCCCTGTGTAGCCTTGGCTGGCTTGGAATCCATTGTGTAGACAGGCAAAGATCTGCCTGTCTCTGCCTCCCAAGGAGTAGGACTAAAGGCATGTGACCATGCTCAGCTAGGAGTGAAATTCTTTTTTTTTTTTTTTTTTCGAGACAGGGTTTCTGTGTATTGTTTTGGAGGCTGTTGTGGAACTCGCTCTGAAGACCAGGATGGCCTCGAACTCACAGAGATCTGCCTGCCTCTGCCTCTGCTTCCCGAGTGCTGGGATTAAAGGCATGCGCCACCAACGCCCGGCTAGGGGTGAAATTGTTAAACAGACTTGTTCCATCACAGACTGTTCTGTTGTCCTCCTTTGATTCATCTGTACCTAGTGTCATGGCTTTGGTTTAATTGTGCTAGACTGAATTTCACTGTAGGAATGGCAGGACAGTTCTTCCCTCAGGGATAAGGATAAGACTGGCTCAATGGGGCTCACACTGACATCCCGGGAGTGGAAAGCCCTTGTGTGGGACAATGCTGAAAGCAGGCAGAGGTGCCTTCTCTTTCTTTGGTCTGTAAGCATGTTCTGATCTCCTCCACCTGGAATTTGTTTCTTCATTTGGAGAGCTGTAATGCTTGTTTCCCAAACACAAACTCAGACCTTTCAGAAGATGTTAGTGGTCAACAGTCTTGTCAGTCAGAAGATGAAGGACCTCACAGTTAGATCCTCACAGTAATCTCAGAAGTTGTAGGCTTTGCAGAAAGGGTAGGGCTGCAGACCTCCTGGCTCCCTTGCTTGACTCAGTCTCTCTTTCCCCAGGACTCTTCTCAGGAGAGCTCCCAGAGTGCACGCAGGAGCTGATGGTTGATGTCACCAAGAGCTACTACCAGAAGTTTCTGCCCCTAACCCAAGTCTAATGTCTCTGCTTTATATCTTGAATTCCTTTGACCTCTAAGATGAACTGGGAGATAAAGTGAGCAGTCCGGAACTACAGGAACTGCCGTGCTTTTGACCACTCTACTCTCCTTGATTTCTTTTTTTTTTTAATTTAGAATTTTTCAGTCCTCCAAGACTTCTGAGCATTTAGGAATTTAATAGGCAGGCCGGAGAGATGGCTCTGTTGCTAGGAGCACTGGCTGCTTTCAGAGGACCCAGGTTCAGTTCTCAGCACCCACATGGCACCTTACAACCATCTGTTACTCCAGTTCCAGGTGATCTGATAAGCTTCTGGCCTCCCTAGTACCAGATTTACATGTGGTACAGACATAATATGCAGCCACAACATTCCATCACATAAAATACTTTTTTTTTTTTTTTTTTTTTGGTTTTTCGAGACAGGGTTTCTCTGTATTGTTTTGGAGTCTGTCCTTGAAGTAGCTCAGTAGACCAGGATGGTCTCGAACTCACAGAGATCCGCCTGCCTCTGCCTCCCGAGTGCTGGGATTAAAGGCGTTCGCCACCACCACCCCGCTAATAAAATACTTAAAAAACTTTTTTCAATAAGAGAGCATCTGGAGGGGTTGTCTTTATCTGCTGTGCTTACACGTAATCTGTCAACAGTCACAGTACCATTGTCTGAGGAAGGCAGAAAGGTCTGTTTTCAACACTCCAGCCCTGTGGTCCTGCAGATGGCTGGAACCTGACTGGCATGGGCCTGCAGAGCAATAGCACCCTCCTAGCATGGGGTTACATGCACCAGGTGCTGCTCACAACCATGTCCTACCCTCACTGCACACCACCCACTCAGATGACATTCAGCTATCCTGCTGCTAACACAGGATCAGTAGCACAATTTCTCCTACCTTGAGGAAAGTTTGTGATTTCAGAGCCCAGGTTCCTATTGACTGTTAAAGTGTGGTGAAAAGAGATGGACTGTAGTGATACAAACCTGTCATCCTAGCACCTGTGGAGTCGAGTCAGGAGTGAGCTCACAGTGAGCTCACAGTTGCCTGGTGTGTTACATGAGACCCTGCTTTAAAACAAAAACAGGACTGTAAAAGAAAAAAAGGTGAAGAGCAGGTGGTAGCTGTTCTTCTTTTCAGAGAGACCTTAGCTGTCCTAGAATAGTTAACAAAAGATGTGAAACAGCCTGTTTTAGGCTGTTTACTTACAGTTGGGAAACCACTGCAGATTTTGCTTCTGCAGAGGTCCTGGTTTAGGTCTGTGGTGTGGATGGCTTAGTCAGATCCTCATTCCTTGTCTCAAGGTTTACTTCACCAGAAATGAGTTTTTGTGAACATTGCTTTCTAGCCTAGAAACATTTGTTCCACCTGATATTTGCCAAAATTCCCATAGTTCAGACCAAAATATCTGTACTTGAGATCAGCCTCACATAGGCATGAGAGGCTTTTCAAGTCATCCTGTATACAGAGCATCTTCCCAGCTCCCCTAGCTGGTAGCACACCCCCCTGGCTCTGTTCTGAATCCTTAGTTTCGGGATGAAGGACTTGGTCAACCAGTGCTCTCAGAGATTGGCAAAACAGTTCAGCACTAAAGGATAGGACTTAATAGGAGCCATCTTGACTTAAATGTAGGTCTGGGTTGACAGAAAAACCTATGTGGACTCAGCTCTAATCCAATTCAAAACTGCTTTCTGTTTCTCATTTGCCTTTTTTTTTTTTATGTTGGTGCATTAAAAGATTGACACATGGAACACATTTTAAGGTGATCACTCTCCACCTCTAGTAATTGCAGCTGCTATTCCTTAAGCTTCACTATCTACCTGGAGCCATGCTACAAGCTTTCTGTTCACTGGCTTGTTTGTTTCTCACACTGATGCTATAAGGTGAATGTTATTCACATTTAACACATGAAATAAAAACTCAGAGCTATCAGACAACTTGGTGCCATTTGTACAGTGAAAAAATTGGCCGACCCAGGAGTTTCCCCATGGGGCTCTCTGGCTGCACAACCTACACTTACCAGCTTTGACCTGTAAAGACAAAATGAGCTTGTCCTTGGACGCCATCTGCTCTGTGTCTTGTCTGACTCAGCAACCTGTAATGGTTCTGATTTGTCTTAGTCATATCAAGTTACCTGCCCCGGATTCTTTGTCCTTTGGTGTCACCAAAAAGGTGAATGTTGGAATTGGCAGTTGGATGTTCACTATGCTAACTATTTTCCAAGGCTTATCTGGCAGGTTACCTGTTCAGCTTGTGTTTAAATACCTCCAAAAGGAAGTTCGCCACTTTTTGCTACTGCTTTTATTTTATTGTTAATCAACTGAAGTTTAAAAAGTATGTTTGAATACTGTGTAGGCTGAAGACAGAGATTGCTGTGAATTTGAGACTATATAGTGAGTTAGAGGCTAGCCTGGACTATAAAAGCAAGACTTCCAAAATAAAGGGAGGGAGATTATCACCTTACATAATAAACCACTAGGAAAGCCTAAGCGGCAGCATGCAGATGAGCAAAAAACTTAGGATCCTATAGTGATCAACATTAGTGCCTGGGAAAGGTAGAGTCAATTAAATGAGGGACTGGTAAACATTAAGGGCAGCTTTTGGTGCTTAGGACACACTCTCCAAAGGGTTCTTACAGGGTCACATGCTAAGGTGCATACCTATCAGTGCACTTTTGCATCTTTTTCACTGCAACTGAGACCTTGAGGAATGCAGTACCTCAGTCAAGGCAGAAGGTTCTCTAGAGGAACAGAACATACAGAATGAACACACACAGAGAGAGAGAGAGAGAGAGAGAGAGAGAGAGAGAGAGGGAGGGAGGGAGGGAGGGAGGGAGGGAGGGAGGGAGTGAGGGAGGGAGGGAGGGAGGGAGGGAGGGAGAGATAGAGAGAGAGAGAGAGGGACGGAGGATTTATTAGAGTGGCTTACAGGCTGTGGTCCAGCTAGTTCAATAATGACCATCTACTAGTGGAAGGTCCAAGAACCCAGAAGTTGCTCAGTGTGAGGCTGGATTTCTCAACTGGTCTTTAGTATACACTGGAACCCTGAAGAAGTTAGCTCTAATGCCAATGAAGGAATGGACTTGCTTGCCCTCAAGAGAGAATGCTTCCTTTTTCCATGCCCTTTACAGAGGCTTCTAGCTGATCCAAGTGAAGGGTGGATTTTCCCATCTTAAAGATACAGATTAGAAGTGGGTTCTCCCACTTCAAATAGTTTAATTAAGAAAAAAAGAATCCCTCACAGGTGTATCTAGCTATTTGGGTTTTAATTGATTCTAAATGTAATCAAGTTGACAACCAAGAGTAGCCATCACACTCCCCTAGCAGTGCAGAGACACCCAAGAAAGTGGCTGGGCTACCTGATATCAGGCATCCTGCTTGTCACCTTTCCACATTTAGGCCCCAGGAAGACTGTAAACTTAATCTCCATTTGGGTGGCCAAACTTGAGGTAACAGATCATGGTGTGTGTGTGTGTGTGTGTGTGTGTGTGTGTGTGTGTGTGTGTGTGTGTGTGTGTGTGTATGTATGTATGTATGTGTGTGTTTAGACACGGTCTCTGTGAAATAGGCTAAGAAGGATTTCATGATATTAAAGAGAATGGACATAAGTAGACAGTAAGCAGCCTTGAGCAGACCTCTGTGTTTTTCTTCTACATTTCTTCTAGATTTGTCTGTACATTTGGGATATGACAGATTCCAGGTCTAGATTTCTACAATTGTATTCCAGAGGCACTCCACTTTTAGTCTAGCAAATCCCAAAGAAAGTACTTCGTGCCTTATACTGTGTGAGACCTGTGCCCTTTTATATCAGTGACTGTGGCCAATGGTGTTTGGCTCTGTGATTGATCCAGTTGGGGTCATCACCTTTCCTCCCTTACCCTAGTATAAGGAATGGTATCTCTTGCCAAATCAAGGTGCTGAGAAGACAAAAGCAGTGCCTACTATAAACAGCAGCTCTGTAATTGTGTGCTGATGGTATTTGAGAGTATGCTAACAGTCATGAGTTCGTATCCTAGGAAAAGCCAGCTAGACTCTGTCTCCATGGTGACTCTCACCCCAGGGACAGCCTGTTACTAGGCAATTATAATTCCACAAAAGAAAAACTCTTCTTGGAATATTAGAAGCGAAGGCAGATGGGAAAGACTTTTCCAGCTTCAGAGAAGACAGGAAAGAGTTAGGTTTCTGCTGGTGAGAGAGCCAGGCCTTAGTTGCACTTCAGGCTGGATTCCAAGACCAAAGTGTCACAAGGACTCGCCTCTCTAGCTCCTGCCTCTCTTTTCCTTTGAGATGGTTCTTTTGTTGTCTGTTTGTCTTTCTTGAGACAAGAGTCTCTCTATGCAGCCCTGGCTGTCATAGAACTCACTATAGACCAGATAGACCAGACTGGTCTCAACTCCCAGATACATGACTGCCTCTGCCTCCTGATTCCTGGGATTAAAGGTGTGTGTCACCATGCCTGACTTATTTTCAGATACCATAGTGTGACACACACCCTGTACAAACACGGCTTTTGTTTTGGCTAGAAAGAGCTCCTATTTGCTGAAAACCCCCTGGCTTTGCTTCTCATTGGCCTAGACGAGAGAGGTATCCAGGCTCAAGTCTTCATTGTAGCTAAGAAACTGAGATACAGGCACACATATGGATTGAGTTAATGGCTAGTGGTTGTAGGAAATGAATGAAACTACCACAGAAGGAATAACTATGTCTGGGCAGGAAAAATCATCCCGCATCTAGTGCAGGCCTCTTCCTTTACCCAGATCTCTTCACTTTACCCTTCTTACTCCCCATGTACACTTAACCCATGCTTTTATTACTCTTGCTACCAAAGGACAATTTATAAGGGCCCTGAAGGGCCCAGACTAGGGGCAAAGAGAAAAATGCTTAGCTTGAGTGGGTTCCTTTCTGTCTGGAACTGCTTCCTGCTGTCCCTAATCAGCCATCTAGGTGGAAGTCTAGTTACATGCCTCCATTTCTAGTCCTGAGGAACTAGGATTAAGCTCCTGGGTTATCCAGCACTTATATGCTTGCCTGGATATGAGCCATGCTCTCCCCATCCCCAGGCCTGCCCAGATAAGATTCACATTATAGGGCCCCAAGGACTGGGAACGAGGTTAAATAATTGACCAGTAAGGTCCTGTTGACCCATTCTGTCTTACATGATTATCTGTAGCCTTTGTGGTTGGTTGGGTAGTGACTTCTGAATGAGTCACTTATACATCAGTCAGTTCTCTTAGGACCCAAGGCTATGGTTCCTTTCCAAGTCATTGACACATCTGGTCTATGGTAGGTTTGAAATTAATCAGACTATTTGTCCTACTTAACACAGTCATAGAATATTAGCCATAATGAGGAGGTCTTGGCAGTCAGGAAGGTCTTTCTAGAGATACCATCATGGCCTGCCTATAAGAACCCAGAGGGTGTTCTCTAGCCATATTTCAGCTGGCATCAACTTCCCTCCAGGACAAACTGGCTCCCATAGGTCATCTGGTAGTTTTTATGAAGCTATAAGGCGGTTAAAGTAGTACTGGCAAAAGCCGGGCGTTGGTGGCCCATGCCTTTAATCCCAGCACTTGGGAGGCAGAGGCAGGCGGATCTCTGTGAGTTCGAGGCCAGCCTGGTCTACAGAGCAAGTTCCACGACAGCCTCCAAAACAATACACAGAAACCCTGTATCGAAAAAAAAAAAAGGTTACTGTGACATGTCTAAGAGTCTAGCTGTTTATAACTGGTCTCAGAAAAATGCCATGTCACCTTAGACAAGTTGTCATAAGCCCATGCTCACTGAAACACAGAAGCCTAGCAACAGCATTGTGCTGCTCCTAGCTTGTGTGCTTGTTGCCCATTAACATAGGAAGGTGGGACCCTGACCACATGCTATGTAGCAGAAGACAGCACCAGCCACCCGCCTATTCACTTAAAATCCTTACCGAACCCACACAGAGAACCAGGCTCTGCGCTGGAGAGTAACATGCAGTCAGTCCCTGCTCCTAGGGACCTTACAGCTTAGTCAGGGGAGAAAGCTGTGAAACTAGAGTTCTCTAGTAGAGGTCTTATTTCGGCAATAGCCATGAAGCATGGGTGCTGGAGGTAGGTCCCACTCTGCCACATACTAGCCCTGTTATCTGACCCCTTGGGACCTCAGCTTTCTCATTTATAAAGCAAGAAGGTGGGCAGGGTGCTTTTGGGGGTTTTAGTTCCTTCACACATGGAAAGCACTGATTCTCAGTGTGTACCCCATAAACAGCAGCCAGAACTATCTTTAGAAAGTGGAAGACCACGAGTAGAACCCCCGGAGTTAAAAGCACAGCATTCTGATAATTTTAGACTTAAAACAAGATCAAGCAGATGCCACAAAAAAGAGATGGGGGGAGCATTCATATTTTGCACCTGTGGAATGCCAGACACTCAGCAGAAAACATTTAATCTTCTCAATTGTCAATAAAGTAGGGATTTTCACAACCCATTTTACAGAGGAGGAAACTAATTATCAAAGAAGTTGAGTATATTTGCCCAGTGCTGCACACCAGAAAATTGGCTGAGCAGCATCAAAAGCCAGCTGCTATATGGGTGCAAAGTCCATCTTGTATGCCACTGTCCTTATGTCCAGGGTGGCAAAAGCAGTTGGCTTGGTGCCAGGCACCTGCCTGGTGTTTTCAAAGTTTCCACAGAAGCCAGACAAGTGGACAAAGGGGGTGCCTGGGAACAGCGGCCAGAATTGACTTTATGAAAGTCACACACTTGCACTGTGTGGCCATTCCTTTTACATGCTGTAAATTTTTTTTGAAGGCCAACAGAACACCCCTACTGAGCAGATTTGGCCTTGCTCCTTTGCGAGCACTCTTCCAACCAGCCATCCCTCCCTCTTACTAAAAAAAAAACAAAAAGCTAGTTTCTCTATTCGGGGCTCTGGGTGACAAGCCAGGCAACCTTGCATCGGGAGGTGGGATCGTCTGATGCTTCTTACATTTCACCTTGCATTGGTCTTGTTTGACCGCAGGTCAGGCTTGGGAAGTTTCTTTCCTTTGAGGATAGGAGGAAGGTAGCTGAGGCTGGCCTAGGCTAACTTGTAATCTTCAATTCACACTACTTCTTAAGGAATTTCTGGGTGTTGCAGATACTCCTGGCGCCTGGAGAAGTCTAGAGCTCCTTTCAATTCGGGCTCCGGGAGTGATTGCCACAGACAGCTTCGTTTTGCGTGCCAGACGTGCCGAGTTGTTTGTTCAGGTTTGGGTTTATTTAGGCTAGCCGGGGAGACGGCAGTCGAGGGCGAAGGCGGTGCACTGCCAAGCTACCTCTAGGTCTGGGGTTTCAGATCTAGGAGTGGCATGAACCACATGAGCATTCTCCGGCCGGCCGGCCGGCCGGCGGGGGAGCAGAAAGCAGGACCGAATTCTGTCCCCTGGGGATTTCTACGTATCCCATTCGTTCCTAGTTTCCCAGGCTATCACGTGCATTCAATCCTTAAGTCCCTGCCCATCAAGTTTCTCCTAGCAAGATCGGGGGTTTAAAGGCGGCTGCGCCGTAGAGCACTCCCATGGTGCCGCGCGCTGGGCGGGTTTGTATTTTAAATCCCCGCGGCCAATCAGCAGCGCGCAGGTCCTTGTAACGTTCCCAGCGCCGCGTTTGAATTCGGGGAGGAGCGGAGCAGGGCAAGATCCTTTGCACCGGCCGGGCCAGGTCCGCGGAGCAAATTTTGGGAGCATGAATGCAGCAGCCAAAAAGCTGGCTCGAGCACCAGCCGATCTCGGGAAAGCTGGGGTTCCTGGAGATGCAGCTACCGGTGCCCCAGTGACCGCCCCGCTGTCGAAAGAGATTCCCGAGGTCTTAGTGGATCCACGCAGCCGGCGCCAGTATGTGCGGGGCCGCTTTCTGGGTAAAGGAGGCTTTGCCAAATGCTTCGAGATCTCGGACGCAGACACAAAGGAGGTGTTCGCAGGCAAGATCGTGCCTAAATCTTTACTTCTCAAGCCCCACCAAAAGGAAAAGATGTCTATGGAGATTTCTATTCACAGAAGTCTCGCACACCAACACGTCGTAGGCTTCCACGGCTTTTTTGAGGACAGCGATTTTGTGTTTGTGGTTTTGGAGCTCTGTCGCAGAAGGGTGAGTGTTTCTGCTGCGGGACTGGGGCGACCACACCGGGAACTTGCTGTCAAAGAGGCATCGACGCCTTGGAGTGGCCTAGAGGAATGTTTGGGTTTCAGGCAATTATGAAAAGGCTCCTTGTGAGGGTGCTTGGCATTCCGAGCTGCTGAGGCCGGTGTTCAGGGCAAGCGGAGCCCGGGACCTGTAGCTATGAGGGAAGGTGGCTCCTGTACGCAAGGCTGCGAGTAGGTGCAGGAAATGGGTGTTTAAAGTGATTAACAAGGGTCCCAGCCTATGGCCGGCCGCGGACCTAGAACTTCCGGAGTGGAGTAGGGCAGGGTCGGTAGTGGGGGAAGGAGGAGAGACTGTCTGGAGTCAGACCTCAGCTTTCAGGAATAGGAGAGGGTATCCTGTTGGGAGGAAGCCCCTGTATAGGGGGTCGAGAGTGGGGTTGAGAGAAGATGCTGGGTAATGGTACGAGTTAACAGGAGAGGGTCCTGTAAATGATAACGACCAGTGTATGGGCAGAACCATCAGGAGCCTGCCAAGACATAAGAAATATGGGTTAACTTAAGCGGAAGGGTTAGCTAAGCCTGTACTATGGGCTGAGCATTTATAATTAATATAAGCCTCAGAGTGATATTTGGGACCGGGTGGTCGAGATAGGAAACTTCTGTCTATTTTACTCTCGAGGGCTTAGTCCTGGCTACATCCAGCTGGCCACCCTTTTCCTTGGGCTTCAATACCTTCTTCCCTCTTCCTCAGTCTCTCCTGGAGCTGCACAAGAGGAGGAAAGCGCTGACGGAGCCCGAGGCACGCTACTATCTACGTCAGATAGTCCTGGGCTGCCAGTACCTGCACCGCAATCAGGTCATTCACAGGGACCTCAAGCTAGGCAACCTCTTCCTGAACGAAGATCTGGAGGTGAAAATAGGTGAGGTGCTGGGCCTGCGGGCAAGGAGGGGGACTCTGGGAGAATGGGAGCCAGAGAAGTGGAAGGCCAGTGGGAAATGGAGGTGCTGCCCTCCAGAAAGCCCTTTTGTCCAGAGATGGACAGTGAGGGGCCTCAGGCCAGTGTCTTGCTGTCCTCTACTGAGCTGGGAAGCACCTGCTCCCTTGAGACTCTGAGTTGGCCTCAGTCCCTGTACTCCTGTCACTTTTCTTAAACTTGTCCATCAGCAGTCATGAAGAATATTTACTTGATTCCCTAGTGCATCTAATTCTGCTATCCTATGTGTTTTAAATTTCATTTATGTGGGGCTGGAGATAGAAGGTAGCTTTCAGGAGTCTGTTCTCTCCACTGTGGATTCCAGGGTCAACTCAAGTTGTCAGTCTTAGCTGCAAGCACCTAAACCTACTGAACCATCTTACCGCCATAGCCCTGCTATCTAAAGAGGCGTGTAAGGGCAGTGGGACGCTCAGGGAACGGAGACTGCAGTCTCAAGGCACTGGTTCTCAATAGTCAGGCCTGAGGCAGTTGTCTGCAGCCACAGATGGCCTGGACCTCGAAGCTTAGCACCTCTCTTCTCTCTGTCCCAGGGGATTTTGGGCTGGCAACCAAAGTGGAATACGAAGGGGAACGAAAGAAGACCTTATGTGGCACTCCTAACTACATAGCTCCCGAGGTGCTGAGCAAGAAGGGACACAGTTTTGAGGTGGATGTGTGGTCCATCGGGTGCATCATGTAAGTTGGGAATGGACTCAGGAGCTATTGGGTCTCAGTGGGACTTTCTGAGGCCTTTCACCCAGTTGGTCTTAACCCTTTGGATCCTTTCTTCTCCTTATACAAGGTCTGTTTCAGAGAACAGGCTGCCCACATGAAGCCCCTTTTCCTTATCAATCTGGTGTAGGCTATAGCATTCCTGTAGCTTGGACTTATGGTTCAGGGAAGGAACCAGATGAGTACACTAACTCCAGCTCCTTGCTGCTTACTAAATAGCATGCACTAACCCAAACCATCAACACCTGAGGGCTTGTTAGGATGTAGAATCTCAGTTCTGACTTTCAGTACAGCTTTGGAAGCACTGACGAGCGCTGAAAGGAGAATCAGATCAGCAGAAAGGCTCGTTGTAGGCAGAAGCCCCATCATGGTGCCCTGTGCCTGTGGGGATAGTGGCCTCTGTGGTCCTTGGGGAGTCCTCTATGAATGCAGACCAGAGCTGGGAAATCCCTGGCCCCTTGGTATCCAGTGTTGTCTCCTGCATTCTTCTGAGGGCTTGTCCCAGCCATTGGCTACTGTGGCACTGGGCAGACTTGGAGATCGATCATCCTCATCCGTTCTGAGTCAGTGAATCTAGCACAGCTCCCTTCCTCTAGACAATGACTTCTGCATTTGTACTTTACTGGGAATTTGAGCAAAATCCTTCCTGTACCTCCAGGTATACCTTGCTAGTGGGCAAACCACCTTTTGAGACCTCATGCCTAAAAGAGACCTACCTCCGGATCAAAAAAAATGAATACAGTATTCCCAAGGTAATGACACCATAATGTTTTAATTTTTTTTTTCAAGACAGGGTTTCTCTGTGGCTTTGGAGGCTGTCCTGAAACTAGCTCTTGTAGACCAAGCTGGTCTCGAACTCTCAGAGAATCCGCCTGCCTCTGCCTCCTGAGTGCTGGGATTAAAGGCCTGTGCCACCAACTCCTGGCCTGTTTTAAAAAACTGATAACTGAGCCCAACTGTATCCTGGGAACAAAGATGAGTCAGCCCTTCCTCTAGTATAGCCGCAGGGAATGTATATCAGAAGGCTGACCTTGAACTTTGCGTGTTGAGTTTGAATGGCAGATTCTCCTGCCTCTGCCTCCCAAGTGTAGAGATTATAGGCATTAGCCATCATGCTGGCTTTATGGTATACTGGGAACTGAGCTTGACTTTATGCTCATAGGCAAGCACTCTACCAACTGAGCCCCATGTCCAGCTTCCTGAATGGTTGTAAAGCACAGGGAGAAACAGAGGGAGTGGGGGTAGACATGTGTAAGCTTGGGAAGTGGACCATCTCTACCCAGCTGAGCTTTGTTTAAGGGTGATGACTTTGACTCTTGTGAACTAGGGTTCCCATCTGCAAAGTAGGAGTTTCCCCCAATAACTTCCAATGACAAAATGACATCTATTTTCACACCCGATAGCATAAATCTGTTTGAAGGGGGATAACCCATTTCTGAGGACTAGGTCCACATGGGCATGTGACCCTTTCAAATCCATGTTCTTGTATATAGCGTAGCTATGTCACAGAAGGTCAACTCGTTGCAGACAGCATGGACTAGTTTGAGTCAGCTGGACTGCTGTGGTATGAGTCCTGGGTTTATCAGCTAGGCTGTGTGTATTCTCAGACGGGGCACTTCCTCCTCTGAGTCTGTTTCTTCCACAAGTGAGGCCTAATAGTGGAGTAGTCTTAACATTTGTAAGGCTGAGGCAGGGGAAATCACAAGTTCTAGGCTAGCCTCAGCTATATAGTGAGGTCCTCTCTCAATTCAAATTCTACAGAGAGGGAGGAGAAGAGAGTTCTTTAGTCCTTTTTGTGAGAGCCAAATGAATTAATGTATAAGAATACATTTCTGGTATATAAGAAGCATAGTGCTGTGATTGACTGACCTGTACTAGGTTTTTGTCCCATAAGCCAAGTATCCCACCTGGTAGTGTCCCAGGTGTAGGACCCCTCCCCTATTCTATAGATAATGTGTTGGTAGGCCCAGAAAGCCCAGACTATTTGTCATAGCTGGAATCAAGGGGATGGAACTAGGATTTAAACACAGGTCTGGGGACCTGGAGGCCTGTGTTCTTAGATACCCTTCTGGTGGTAAATAACTAGATGTCCTTTGCAAGGGTGAGGTGGAGAAATCATCCCAAGTTACTATTGAGAGCAAAGTGACAAGAAATGATCCTTCTTACCAGCAGTGTGACATTGGTCCTTGTTAAAGCTGAAGGTGGAGGGACCTGGTAGAATGTATGGCCACTGAGCTGTGGTATATTTGAGACAGGAGCAGCCACATGCCAGTTTCATCTCACATAGGCTCTTCTCTCCTCTCCAGAACATCAATCCTGTGGCCGCCTCCCTCATCCAGAAGATGCTTCAGACAGACCCCAATGCTCGCCCTACCATTCACGAGTTGCTCAATGACGAGTTCTTCACTTCTGGCTATATCCCTGCCCGTCTCCCCATCACCTGCCTCACCATCCCACCAAGGTTTTCAATCGCACCCAGCAACCTGGACCCCAGCAGCAGGAAGCCTCTCACAGTTCTCAATAAAGGTAAAACTCAGTCCCAGAGAGCCCAGATTTCCAGTGTGCATTTCAGGATGCATGCACCTTACTCTGCCCCAGAGTTAGATTCTATTCTGGTCCCTGGGTTCTTCTGCCCCTTGGCCTTGACAAGAAAAAAACACTGAATCAACTGAATCAACCCATTGGGCCCAAGAAGGACAAAGTAGACTGAACACTAAGCCCAGGAAATTATTTTGATTACTTTTAAAAGTCCCTAGCATTGCTGAGACTTTAATCCCAGCACTCAGGAGGCTGAGGCAGGCAGATCTCTGAGTTCAAGGCCAACCTGGTCTACCGGGTGAGTTCCAGAAAAGCCAGGGCTGTTATATAGAGAAACCTTGTCTTGTGGGGGAAAGAAGTCCCTAACATCTCTCTTGCATGGTTTGTTGAGAATGCTGGAACTTGTCAGGCCCATACATGGAGTGTAATGTGTTACCCATCCTCAGTCACCATGGTTCACTCCTTTGTACTTTTCATCCCTTTGAGTGCTTCTGCTTTGTTTTTCAAGAGCAGGCTAGGGCTCTGGATTACAAGTTTATCACTATAGCCAACTTCAGCAGTCTGTCGTTTTACCCTTAAACTAAAGTATGTCTGTGAGTTTAAGACCAGCCTGATCCTACAGAGTGAGTTCCAGGACAGCCAGAGCTGTTAGACAGAGGAACCCTGTCTTGAAAACAAACAAATAAATAAATAGGTAGAAGAATGAACAGGAAGCATCTGCCCCTCTTTCCCCAGACTGTTTACATTCTTTTGATGTTTGCCTCACCAGTCCCCTATGTGTTTCTCTTTCTTAACTGCTTGAGAGTAAGCTTTCCTCTGCTGGTGCTGCTTCAGTGTATATGTCGTGAAAACAGACATGACAGACACAACACAACCTTAAAGGGTTGTGAACATTAATCTAATCCCATATTGTCTTCACAATTTTTTTTTCTTTTTTCTGCCCCACCCCCACCCCCCTTTGGAGACAAGATCTTACTATATAGCTCAAGATGGCCTCCAACTCTGAGATCCACCTACCTCTGCCTCTTAAGTGCTGGGATTAAAGGTGTGTGCTACCATCGCCCAGCTTGGCTAGTTTTAAAATCAGATCTTGTATATTTTATTTAATGTAGCATGGTGGGATTTTGATTGTTGTTTTTAATTGAAAATTTAAGAAATATCCTGTTTCACAGGAGAACTAACACATGTTGGTTTGGGGAAATGTTCAAGTACAAAGACAGCAGGAGTGACCAGCGTCCAGCATGCCCCCGCCACCATAGGCCAACTTAACGCTTGTGTGTGCGTGCGTGTGCGTGCGTCTCATTAGACTCAGTTATCTATAAGCTCACAAAGTAGAAGGGCTACTCTGCTTCGTCCATCCTTCCACCTTCCTGGATGCACAAGGTGATCTTCGTTCTTTGCTTGAGTTGGTGCCTTCAGGATGCCTCCCTGAGTGACAGTGACAGCTGCTGTCCTGGAAGGCCAGGCTGTTGGAGCAGAGGCCCGAGCACCTGACACTTTGACCTCTCAGTGTGTACCCGACACACAAACCTGGTACTGACTCAGTTCCCCACAGCAGTGTTAGTTAATGGGTACTGTGGGAAGAGTGCTAGCTGTGGCAGGTAGTCCTATGATCCCTCCCCAGTTTTGTGCCTGGCCAATGACCATGTCACCTTCTTAGGTGTGGAGAACCCATTGCCTGACCGTCCCCGGGAAAAGGAGGAACCAGTGGTTCGGGAGACAAATGAAGCCATCGAGTGCCACCTTAGTGACTTGCTGCAGCAGTTGACCAGTGTCAATGCCTCTAAGCCCTCAGAGCGAGGGCTGGTGCGGCAAGGTGAGTATCGCTGAACATCTGGAGAAGGCAGGGAACCTCGATCATCACAGCAGAGCACCCATTTCCTATAGATCAAAATCCAGATAAGGTAGCATGACACCCAAGGCCCTCCCTGGTGTGCCTTCTGCTGGTTTCTGCTCCATCTCATTTTATAGGTGGCTAATGGGTCACTTCTCATAGCTGCACCCATTGTGTCTCCTTTCTGCCCAGGGAATTAATCTCTTGGTCCTCAGGAGACTCCGGACCACTCCAGCCTCAGGGCTTTTGTGCCCAGTGTCCACCCTGACACCCACTACTAGCACATCCCAGCCTGCCTTAATTCTCTGTAACATTTCTTCCCGACATATTTGTGTCTTTGCAGTAGGGTCTTGTGTGCACCGAGTTGGTTCTGACATTGCAGAAGTTGTTGGGTCTGCTCAGGTTCTTCATCACTTTAATCTGGGGCACTAGGCCTTCCACCAGCCCCAGTGTTAATGACAGTAGCTTAAGAGACTTTGATCACACCTCATCTCTGTGCTTGGAACATGGGCCCTTCTAGAAGCCTGGGGTTTTCTTTTCCTGTCCTCAACTTCCTGGGACACAGTAATGAAGTGGGACTTGGCATCCTGGGCTGCAATTTTCCATTTGAGTGTCTAGGTTTGTACTGTCAGGCTCCTCCCCAGGCTTCATGGGGTACCCTCCTCCCCCCCCATCCCTGGGGAGGGCTGCCTGAGAAGCAGAGAAGGGGCTGGCCTAACCAGTGCTTTGTTTCTATCCCAGAGGAGGCTGAGGATCCTGCATGCATCCCCATCTTCTGGGTCAGCAAGTGGGTAGACTATTCGGACAAATATGGACTTGGTAAGTGCCTTCAGAATGTGGGATGGGCAGGGGATGGTGTGGCCATGGTATCCTTTGAGTGAATGAGCAAGTGATGTCCGTAGTTGTGTATCTGTGTCTGTATTACCAAGAATTGTTAGGGCCTTATGCATGCAAGCACTCTACTGCTGAACTATTCCCAGGCCTTTGCCCACCTCCTCCTGCCTTTCTGAGATAGCCTTCCACCTGCCATTAGGGTATCAGCTGTGTGACAACAGTGTGGGGGTGCTCTTTAATGACTCAACACGCCTCATCCTCTACAATGACGGTGACAGCCTACAGTACATAGAGCGTGATGGCTCAGAGTCCTACCTCACCGTGAGCTCCCACCCTAACTCGTTGATGAAGAAGGTAGGAACTGGCTGCTGAGGGATGGTGTGGCAGGGTATGGGGGCTGCCTCAGGGTCAGGCTCTCATTCTGGAATCCTTACTCCAACTTTCCAACCAGATCACCCTCCTGAAGTATTTCCGCAATTACATGAGTGAACACCTGCTGAAGGCAGGGGCCAACATCACACCCCGGGAAGGTGATGAACTGGCCCGGCTGCCCTACCTGCGAACATGGTTCCGCACACGCAGTGCCATCATCCTGCACCTCAGCAATGGCACTGTACAAATTAATTTCTTCCAGGTGTGCAGGGGCAGGCACCTGTGCTTAGGGTGGCTGGGTAGGGTGGGAGTGCTGTCCCTTTCACGAGCTGGGGGTACCTTCCTTCCCTCGCCTCAACCTCAGGCACCAGCTGAGCTCTTCATACTCCTTTCTTCCCTCCTAGGACCACACCAAACTTATCCTGTGCCCCCTGATGGCAGCAGTGACCTACATTGATGAGAAGAGGGACTTCCGCACATACCGCCTGAGTCTTCTGGAGGAATATGGTTGCTGCAAGGAACTGGCTAGCCGACTGCGCTATGCCCGTACCATGGTAGACAAGCTGCTGAGCTCACGCTCTGCCAGCAACCGCCTCAAGGCTTCCTCTTAGACCTCTGTCCTTCGGACTGGTGCTCCCACTCTGCAAGCTCTGTCTGGGCCTGCACTGCTAGGCTCCTGGGGCTGCTCTTCGGTGCCCCCTGGCCCTGGGGGCTAGGTGGGGAGCAGTGCCCCCCTTGAAGGGGTTGCTGTGTAAGTTATTTTTGTACATGTTTGGGTGTGGGGTTACAACCTCTTCCCCTGCTCTCAGCCCACTGTATGGATTGTATAGATATTTCTATTGAACTTGGGACTGTCCTTTTATTAGCTTTATATACATTAAATATATGTACATTTCCTTTTTTTTTATCCTCTATTTCTTGAGGGTACCCTGACCTCAAAGTATTTCTCTGCTCCAATGGCCTCAGGCTGCTAAACTGCTGCCCATCTTTTCTGTCACTCCGGAGACCAGACTGAGCCACGCATTTAACTCATTGGTTCACCTTTGGGGTCCTTGGTTGTCTTAGTTCGTTGTGGCATCTGCCAGGAGCTCCTGGCATCCAATGCTGGCGGATAGTAGGGCAGAAAGAGGCTCTCGGAAGCGCAGGTCCTCATGGCATGGTGGGTGTGGAGCAGCAGCCTCGGGAAACGGTTTGTGAAGTATTGGATGAAGCCAGCAGGGAGTTGGCCTAGTGCCTGGTGTACCTCAGTTGGGAGCTCCCTGTAGTGGTGCTTCTGGGGATGGGCAGGACAAAGACCCTGACTCAGCTATAGCAGGCCATCCCTGATCCATTTCCCGCCCAGGCTCTAGTACACACCTTATTCCTCATGGCACGGAGTAGGTCTCTTACTGATGTCCCCTTATATGATCGGAACCTTTTCAGATCTGTGGGCAGAGAAATGGGCTGCAGGGATGTCCCATTGGGTCTCTTCCCCTCAGGCCCACCAAAGTGTGACCTCTACCTGCCTGCAGTGGTGCTGAGATGTGCTTCTGCCAGTTCTCTCGAACCACCTTGTGGCTTCCTTCCTCCAGTGCCAACACGAGGGGTCCCTGCTCTGGCTCCTTCTCCAACCAGTCGCTGACATCCTAGGACCCCACAGAACTCCTAAGTTTTATGCACAGTATCAGAGACCCCAGGACCAGGGTTGTGTTATGTGGTTGATGTTGAAGTAGCGATAGCCTCTTGACTTGAGATAACGAGGGCTATTGCCTCCTGGAGAGTGTAGCTTCTCTGTGCCTTCCTCGGTGTCACCACCCACCTTGAGGGAAGCACTGTTGCCTCTGCTCTATAAGTAGTCAACCTGCAGCTCAAGTGTGGTCCCTTGCACAAGGCCACAAGTGGAAGGAGTATCTGCCCTGATGTTGCATTGTGAGTGACTGCAGGTGAGAGTAAACTGCATTTCCACAAAGAGGAAGCTAGAACATATGCACAGATTCCAGCGTCCAAGGTGACAAAACTCTGACTTTCTTTTTCTTGTTCAAGACCTGTGATGGTTTGAATGAGAATGGCTTCCATAGGTCCATATGTTTAAATGCCTGGTTCCCAGTTAGTGGAACTGCTTGGGAAGGATTAGGAGATGTGGTAGAATTGGAAGAAGTGTCACTGGAGGTGGGCTTTAAGGTTTCAAAAGCCCACACCTGGCTCAGTGTTCCTTTCTTGCCTACAGCTTGTAGATTAAATGTGAGCTCTCAGCTACTGCCTGTCACCACAACACCAAGATGGTAATGGACTAACTCTGAAACTAAGCAAGTCCCCAAGGAAATGCTTCCTTCTTAAGTTGCCTTGGTCATGGTTTCTCACAGCAATAGAACAGTAACTAAGACAGGACCCAAACTTGGAGCTTGGGGGGCCCTTCCCAAGATCTCCATCTGACCTGGAAAAACTGGAGCTGCTTGGCTCTGTTCCAAAAGAGGGGGTGGGCCAGCACCCATCCTGCTGAGGGGCGATCCTGAGGCAGCAGGCTCAGCATGGCTTTCACCAAATCCAAAGCCACAACCTTGTCTGGAGGACAGAAGCAGAAGAGAAGGGATACTTTATAGGTGTTCAGCCTCATGCTTCCTTCCTCCCATCTTTGCTGGTCTGGGCTCTCCCTTCCTCACCGTGGGTCTCTTCCTCCAGATGAGCCAGGCAGGGATCCCCTGAGAGGATGTTGGCCTGGCGGTAGAGACTCTCACCAAAGGGGTGGCTGCCACCAGAAAGCACATAATAAAACACACAGCCTGCAGAGAAGATATCCACAGCGCTGGTCTGGGGGCCAGAAAGATGGGCATGAGGAGGAGGAAGTGGTCCTTGCTAAAAGTCATATCTGGACCTGTAGAGCTGCGTGCCTGTGTGCGTGTGTGCATGCATGCGTGCATGTTCATTAAATCAGAACAAGTAGAGAAGCGTGCGTGCGTGCGTGCGTGCGTGCGTGCGTGTGTGTGTGTGTGTGTGTGTGTGTGTGTGTATGTGTGTATGTGTGTTCATTAGATCAGAACAAGTGAGAGCCAGCATCTTTTTTTTTTCTTTGAGACGGGGTTTCTGTGTGTTAACAGTCCTGGCTTTTCTGGAACTCATTCTGGACCAAGCTGGCCTCAGATCCACCTGCCTCTGACTCCTGAGTGCCAGGATTAAAGGCGTGTACCACCATCACCCACCCACCCTTGCCCCAACAAAAGCCAACATCTTTTTTTCTATGTAACTTAGGATCCTCCTGCCTCAGCTTCCTGAGTGCCCCAATTACAGGCCGCCACACTCAGTGACTGAAGTATGGTGAAGGTTAAGCATTATTTTCTAAGCCTGGTGTGATGCATGTAATCCTGGCACTCAAGACTGAAATGGGAAAGCTTGAGAATTAAAGATCAGTCTAAGACTAGGTACTAAGACCACATGTCAATAAAGATGTTTTTTCTAAGTTGTGGTTTCTCAACCTGTGTGGTACTGAAAGAGAAAACTGTCAGGGGTGGGTGGTGCCCTGTATATTGTGCCATGTTCTACTGTGGCATGTTTAGCAGCATCCCTGAACTCACACTTTTTTTTTTCCTATGGCAAGCCAGGCAAAATGCCTCCAGACATTGCCTAATGTCCTCAGCTGCACAACAGTCCCTGATGGAGACTACCTAGGGGAAGAGGGAGTGGATTATCCCCTGGGAATAGATGAACAGGAGGCCTGGAGAGGCCTGTTTCAGAGAAGAGCTGGGGCATGGAGGAAGCCCTGTTGCTGGCGGACAGACTCACGGGGCTATCTGGGGGCAGCTGCAGGAGCTCTGGTGCCATCCAGCCTTCTGTGCCAGGAATGCCGGAATGGAGACTGAAGCTACAACGGCCTGCAGGTAGCTTCTTGCAGAGGCCAAAGTCAGAGATGACTACTCTGCCTTGTCCCTGGCTGTCAGGCCCAGCCATGAGAATGTTGCCTGGCTTCAAGTCGCGGTGTACTGCAGGAAGGAAGGGGAGAGTGAATAATTGCCAATGGAGAAGAACAGGGAGCTAAGGACTAGAAGTAAGACATGGTACCTATGTGTAAGCAATGTAGGTGGGCCAGGCCGGACATCATCTGCTGTAGCACCATGGTGGGCTCCAGGCCCCAGCGGTCTTGATCTGGGTTCTCCACATACTAAAATGAAGGAGAGGCAAAAATGTCACTTTCCAGTCCAAGGCTTCCCTCCCCTCCTTCCCTTCCTGGGCTTCCATCTCACCTCTTGCAAGGAGGCCTGGCAGAGCTCCAAGGCAATGTAGTGAAACTGGGGACCACGCTCAGTGCAGAAGTAGCGGAGCACATTGGGGTGCCTGTCAGACTCTTGCAACAGCTGCACCTCTCGCTGAACCAAGCTGAAGCACTCTCGGAGGAGCCTCTTCACAGCTACTGCCCGTCCCTCGAACTGTCCTCTGAGAGGTGGACCAGGGGTGGGGGTTCAGAGAAAGCAGATAAGAGAAAGAGTCGGGACCTATCCCCAAGTCTGGGAGTCCAAAAGAATGTCTGTCCTTTGCGTGTTGTCAAAAGGGCTGCAAGTGATACAGCTTCAGCCTGGGCTCCACCTGCCACTCACCGGAAAACAAAAGTTCCGCCTGCCCCACGTCCCAGCACATCCTTGGGGTTGAAGGAAATCTTCCCCACTACAGTGGGCTGCTCTGCTACAGATCGGGGTGGGAGGAGATACCATGTCCTCTTAGTGAGCCACATTCACAGCCCACACTCATCTTCCCTGCCTTCCTCTGCCAGCCATAGTCCAGACCCACCCTCCGCCTTGACCTTTCTCCAGACTTCACCCTTCTGTGCTCAGTGTGCTGCAGCAGCTGAGAGCGAGGACCCAGGTGCTAGGCACATGGCTCCAGTACCTGGTGCTGCTATTGGTGTGGCTAGGCAAGTGACTCAGAGCTGATAATCTGTATTGGTGAGGATCAAATAGATATATGGGAGAGGGAATGGGTGATGTTGGCTGTGTGATTCCCTTCTGAGCACCTCCTATCTCTTTCCCTTCTCTCTGCATTCTCCCCATCTCTAACACTTGTAGCAATTCTTTTCATTGAATTTGAATGTTGCAAATAAAAAGGTGAACTCAAGTAGACAGATGCATGATGAGACTGAGCACAGTAATAGCTAATAAAGATGGTGCCGGGTGTTACAATGCACACATATAACATGGCACAGTGCCCTCAGCGAGCACAGTTAGAGCAAATAAAGATGATGCTGAGTGTTGCAGTGCATACCTACAACACAGCCTGGTGCCCTCAAAAGTCTTGGTGTGCAATTAAGATGGGTGAGGTTGGGCCTGGGGAGATGGCTTAGTCAGTAAAGTGCCTGCCTTGCTTACTATGGGAACCTAAGTTGGATCCCAGCACTCATGTGAAAAGTTTGACATTGTAATCCCAGCAATGAGGTGGCTGAGACAGGCTGATCCCTGAGGCTCATTGGCTAGCCAGCCTAGCTGAATCAATGAACCACAGGTCCCTTGTCTTAAAAATCAAGGTCTAACCAGGCATGATGGTGCATGCCTTTGATCTCAGCACTCAGGAGGGCAGAGGCAGGATCTCTGTAACTTTAAGGCCAGCATGGTTCTAGGACAGCTAGAACTACATAGAGAAATCCTATCTCCAAAGACCAAAACCAACAACAATAAAGAACCCAAGATCTATGGCTCCTGAGAAATAACACCTGTGGTTGTTCTCTGGCTTACACACACACACACACACACACACACACACACACACACACACACACACACACACACAGAGATACATTCACACACTCATGCACACACACATATACACCTACACACACATCCACACTAAATGACAGAGGGAATGAACATTACATAGACATCTTTCCCCCATGAGTCTAAGTGAAAGTATTACTTTAAATAGAGAATCAGGCTCTAGGTAATCTGTTTTAGTTTCTTGAGCTCTTGTATCAAAGTATTGAGAATCCCCCTGTGGTGGATAAGGAAATTTTGGTGTTTAACATAACAAGGTGTCCTGGCTAAGCTATATGTGGGGCCCAAGATCCCCGCCATCACTTTAGTGCTAGGTATCAAAACCAGGGCCTCACATATGTTAGGTAAGTGTACTACCTATTGATCTAGATAGGAAATGGAGAAACTTCTGGAGCTGGAATTCCCATCACATCACATCAATGACAGGGGTGAGGGTGGGTAATAAACTGGGGTTGAAGAGATAGCTCAGTAGGTAAGAGCACTTGATATGGGTTCAAATCCCCAGGACCCATTTAAAAATCCAAGCCTGGCAGCATGTGCCTGTAAATGAGGTATTGTGGAAAGTGTAGACAGAAGCATTTCTGAGGCCTTCTGGCCAGCCTAGCTCTGGTCTTAGACCCAGTTTCAAGGGAATAATGTGGAGAGTGATAGAGGACACTCAACATCTTACTCTACATTGCAGGCAAGGAGAAATGTGCAAACCCTTCATGTGTGTACTCACATGTGCATACACCATACATACATATTCACACACTTTTCTATTACAAAAATTTTTTATGGCATTGGCAAGAATAATCTTGGGAAAATATAGAGTCTTAGCTGCAGAAAGACAAGCAGACTTTACTCCAGAGTCAGAAGATTCAAGGAAATGGGTTTTGGGGTGCAGTGGAATGGATATTTACTTAGATTCAGTGGCGTCAATATATGACAAGAACTTCATCTCAGGGCTGGGGTTACCTTGCTGTGGAGCCCTTTGAAAAAGCTGCCCATGGACTGGAGATGTAGCTCAGGGAGTGTACTTTTCTAGAACTGACTCTGAGAAGGGGCTGAGGCCCAAGGAAGAGGATGTGGGTGAATACTGGAACCTCAAGTCAGAAGCCAGGCAGACATGAGCATGAGTAAGTGAACAGCAGGTGGGGATTTGAAATGAAGAAACTATGGGGAGCTACCAGTATCAGCTCACAAAGACACAAAAGGTGCCAGCCTGGCTCTGAGTCAAAGAGCACAAGACTTGTGTGAGTAATGGATCCACAGGCTGTACCCACCAAGCACTTAGTAGACACCAGTGGGTCCTTGTGGGATTAAGGATTAAACCAAGAAGCATTGAGAAGAATGTTAAAACAAAATCAAAACCATGCATAGGTAATTTACTGCTACCATTACAAAAACATTATTTAAAAACTATTATTATTAACTATTGTATTGGTTTTTGAGACAAGAGTTTCTCTGTGTAACTGCCCTAGGCTTCCCTGGAACTCCCTTTGTAGACCAGGCTGGCTTCAAACTCACAGATCTGCCTGCTTCTGCCTTCCAAGTAAAACAATTATTAACATCACCTTAGTGTGGTTTTTTCTCTCTTTTAGATACATATCCCAGGCTGGACTTGAAATTCTGGTCCTCCTGCCTCCATTTTCCAAGTGCTGGTATTATAGGCATGTACCAACACGCCTGGTTTATAAGTGCTGGGGTTCAAACCCAGGACTTTGTGCATGCTAGGCACACATTTTCCTAGCTGAGATGTGTCCCCAGCACTGACATGATAATGATTAAGGTGGCAGCTTTTTACGGTGCAGTGATGTAATGATGTGAGTGCTAGTATTCCCATTGGACCAATGAGAAAACAGATGCTGAAAGAGAACTCTTCAAAAGTCAGCTGACCACAGTTTGATCGACACACAGTTCTATCCACAACCAGAGACTGAAAATAGCAAGAAAATTGTAATAGGAGACACTTGAGGAGACTGTCTCTTACTCTCTATCTCTATCCCACCATCTGTGGTTTCTAACAATTTGACTTTGAAATTAAATTATGTTCACCTCTCCCTTTTCTCTGTTTTTGTCTCCCCAGTTTTGTTCACTCAAGTTCACCTTCAGGGTCGTGGGATGGCCTGCCTTGCTCTGAGGGGCTTTGAAATCCCTTCTGGTTCTCCAGGGTGGCTCCCGAGGGCTGTGTCTGAGCATCTGGTGAGGGGTCATTAGAGCCTTCAGGTGCCAGAGGACTCTGCTGCTGCTGTAACACATGGATTTTAGTGAGCTCAAGCCTTCCTCCTGGTGGGCCCCACACCTGTGCCACAGCTGGGTTCACAAGAGACCAGGGGCTCCTGGGAGGAAGGCAGAGGCAGATGAAGTTAGACAAGGGAGAGGCAGAGTTCTTTCTAGGAAGATTCTAAAACGGACAAGGTCAGGATGTTGGACTTACCTGCCTCACCAAGTAGAGGACCCAGGCCCCCAGGAGGATGGCCGTGAAGCTAGCTGCCAGCAGGTCTTGGGATCCCAACCCTGAAGCTTTCTCTTCAGGATGTAGTTCCGGATCCCAAGGTTCTTCCCTCCTCAGACTCAGGAGCTAGGAACAAAGTTGTACTCCCTTCTACTGTGAAACACCCAATTCTTCATCACTGGGTTCAGGGCAAGGTTTAGCTGAAGGGGTGGGGGTGGAGTCCCTGTATGATGGACTTGTGGTGCTATCCATAGTTCTGAAACATCATGGTGCTCAGGAGAGAGGAGTTGACCAAAACCTACCATAAAACTAGCATCTCTTTGAATGTCATTAAAAGTTCATAAACTCAGCTGGGGTGGTGGTGCACGCCTTTAATCCCAGCACTCAGGAGGCAGAGGCAGGTGGATCTCTGTGAATTTGAGGCCAACCTGGTCTACAAAGCTAGTTCCAGGACAGCCAAGGCAATTACACAGAGAGACCTTGTCTCAAAAAAAAAAAACAAGAACAAAAAGAAGGAAAAAAATCATGCTCATGGGGATATTGCTGAGACTACAAGATTCACCTCTAGAGATGGGATTCTAGTGGGTCTGGAGCAGACTCCCAGGATTTGAAAAGCATTGCTCCTTCTAACCTTGAACAACTTACTAGCACTTCTCCAATCTCTCCCAGGAGAGCATGCCTTATTGGTTTTTTTTTCTGTTTTCAATTTCTCACTTGATGAATATTTTACAATGTTTATACTGAAGAATACAAAAAAATCTTAGAACTATGCTTTGTGATTTAGAAAGTCAATATCATTTTTACACTTTTAACATGTCTGGCAGTAGCAGCAACAAAATGTTTTCTGGGAACTTCCGTGAGATTGGCTGGGGAAGAGGTACAAGGGCTGCATGATGTCTCTGGGTCTAGCCATAAGCCCTGGCATCACAGCACTAACCTCAGAGAAGAGAGCTGGAGCATGGAGGTCCTCTGGGGTTCTTGTCTCAGCAGACTCTTTCTCTGGGGTGGGATGAACTCTCAGCATGGTGGTATGCAGCACAGGGGGAAGTTCATGGTACCCTAAGTGGTAGGAAGAAAAGCCAGAATTCTGACTCAGAAACCGGGCTTATAAGTCTTTTATCTTCATCTACTCCAAATTAAAGTCAGGAGATCTCACCAATGAGTAGCCACTGGCTGGGGAGGGCCACACTGCCTGAGGGGTATCTGACAGCAGTGCTGGGTGAGCCCTCTCGCTCCCCTGAGACTTGAAGTGTCACTTCATCTGTTGTGGGCCCATCCATGGGTGCCAGGGTCAGTCCACGGGGCTATGGCAGAAGATGGAGAGCCACATGTGAAAGAAACCCCTTTCCTATTCTATCCCTCTTTATAGTCCACTCAGAGATCCTCTTCTCACCACGAGGGCCACCCCAGTGTGGACCAGTGCTTTGGAGACATAGAAACCAGCTTCTTCTTTCCCCACATACAGTGTCATCCTAAAGGGGAGGGGAAAAGAGAAGGATGAGTGATGCTGGTGAATAGCTTCAGCATTACTCTACTTATGTTCTTTGTAGTTGCTTCCATATTGGCTCTGGGATCGATCGTGTGACTTACTGTAGCCAATGAGGCAAATATGACACAAGCAGAGACTTGAATGGTGTTTGTGCATTGGAAGTTGCCCCTCAGTACTGTTCTCTGAGGCCCTGAGACTACCGTGCAAGGAAGCCTACTCTCCCACAAGGGATGAAAGACCTTAAGGTCTATAGATGAACCATTCTATTTGATGCTTTCTCAGCCAAATGGCCCATTGACTACCCGATGGGCGAGTGACACTATCTCAGATCATTGCTTCCACCAAATCATCAGTTGACTTTAGAGACCAGTAAAACTACCTGGATGACCCCCAAATCTTGCAAAACAGCAGGTGTCTGTTGTTTTTAAGCTCCAAGTATTGGAGTAGTTTGGTATGCAGAAAAACTAACTGGTACAAAATCTATAGCAACATTTTTTTCAATATATGTCTTCATTTTTTTGTTTGTTTGTTTTTTGAGACAGGATTTCTCTGTGTAAAAACTCTGGCTGCCCTGGAACTTGCTTTGTAGACCAGGCTGGCTGGGATTAAAGGCTACCAAGGCCTGGCTCACTTTTTTTTTTAAATATGGGATCTTACTATGTAGCTCAGGCTAACCTCAAATTCATGATGCTCATTGGGCAGTGGTGGCACATGCCTTTAATCAGCACTCAGGAGCCAGAGGCAGGTATATCTTTGTGAATTCCAGGTCAACCTGGTCTACAAAGTGAATTCCAGGACAGACAGGCCTACATAGAGAAATCTTGTCTCAAAAAAAACAAAACAAAACAAAAATGCACGATGTTCCATCAGCAGTATCCTGAGTACTGGGACTACTGGAATACACCACCACACCTGGCCCAGACCTCATATAAGAACTCAGTTTTCTAAATTGGAACTTTTCATCTCTCTTTTCACCTTTTGATTTTTTTCTCTCTTCCTCTTTTAGTGCTTGGAACTCCTGAAAATGACAGCAGCCATGCACTTCTAGAACTTCTAGGAGCCTTTAAGCTTCCTTGCTTATAAAGGCTGGACTCTCTAACCATCCTGTTCCTCCTAATCTCCCCCAATCCTCTCTATTATCTTCTACTAAGTGCTTTGAGTGTTTTCTGCGCTAGCCTGCAGCATCATCTTTTTTCAGTGTAATACATTTTATTTTTTAGGTGTATGAATATTTTGCCTGCATGTGTCACTACACACATGACCGGTACTCATAGAGGCCAAAAAGAGGGCATCAGATCACCTGGAACTGCAGTTACAGATAGGTGTAAGCTGCAATGTGAGTGCTGGGAATTGAACCCTGGTCCTTTGGAAGAGTGGCCAGTGCTATCAACCATTGAGTCATCTCTCTAGCATCTCTGTGGTGTGTGTGTGTGTGTGTGTGTGTGTGTGTGTGTGTGTGTGTGTGTGTGAGAGAGAGAGAGAGAGAGAGAGAGAGAGAGAGAGAGAGAGAGAGTGGGGGAGGGGAGGAGTGGTCTCTAGGCAGTTCTGGCTGGCTTTAAACTCATAGAGATCTACCTGCCATTGTCTCCTGAGTGCTGGGACTAAAGGTATGCACTACCATGCCCAGCCCCATAATGTCATGTTTTTCCTAAGCTCATTCTGAGATATTCTTCATACAGCAACCAGAATAATCTTTCTGAAAGATAAGTCAGTTACTTCCTTGCTTGAAACTCTTCAAGGACTGACTGCACCTTTGCCGTGATGAAAAGCTACCCAAGCTTTCTGTATGTGATCCTGGCTTTACCTACAGCCTCAGGCATGAGGCTGCTTAGATCTATGTCTCAGCCTTTGACTTTCTTTGTGTATCCCATGTGTCACGCCTTCTCCCATTTTCTGTTGATCCTTTAGGCCTTACATTAGATGTTTCTTCCTCTGGGAAGCTTTCTATGGCTTCCTCTTGTTTCCAGTCTCAGTCTGGGTATCCTTTTTATGCTTTGCCACCACAACCTGGCTGCCTCTTTACCCTTATCTCACCATGTTATATATAGTTTCCTTTTATATGTCTGTCCCCTCACTAGACTCTGAGCTTCCTGTAGGCAGGAACACTGGCTGTGTTGTTTGCTATTGGATTCTCAGAGCCTAGTAAATGACTAGCATATAATAAGTGCCCAGCTAGCATTTGTGGAGCAAATAGAATGAATGGGCAATCCCTGACTCAGTCTGTGTCTTAGGATGGCATAAGGGAGGATAACACTTGAAGCATTTAACAATCAGTTCAATACGTTTATGGAACAAACCAGAGTCTCCTCCCAGGACAGACTTTATCCAGTCACTTGCTAAATGGCGACTATCCAGGAGTCCTAGGGACACTATCTTGACACCTGATTCAACTGTATTGGTGAGTCATGGCTGAATATCATGATTGGCTATTCGACTGGGGCTGTAACCCTGCAGAAATTCCCTCCCTAGGCTCTAGATAGCAACACTTACAGAAGCTGGATGTCTAAGGAAGAGAAGTGGGCAGCTGTGTCCTGGGAGCTGGAAGCAGGAAGTCGGATGTGGCCCCAGCGGAGGACAAGGAAATGAAGAGTGTCCCTAGCCAGTGTGAGATGTGGCAGCTGGCGCAGACCATCCTGATGCCATGTGTAGATGCCCATCACAGGCACTCCCAGGTCTTGTGTCCACAGCACAGTTCCAGTTCCTGGATCCACAGTGAGCAGCAGGCCCATCCCACAGGATGTCAGGTGGCTCATGTCTATCAAGAAAGACAGCCAGGGAAATGTTGGAGAAATCTCTTGGGACACACCAGGAAGTAGCTGGGGTAGGGGGTCATTTGGGTGTGCAAAGGTCATCTGAGGTCACGTGGAGGGTTACAGGGATGTAAGAAGATCAAAAAGATTTTTTTTCAAATGGAAAGGGATTGGTCAGGGCCATCTAAAGTTGACTCAGGTGTGTCTGAAAGTTAAGATGAGAGGTCATTTGAGGGAAAGGTCTTTGGTTGTAGGTCATCATTCATAGATATGGCTGGACTGATGTTTTCTAAGATCAAGTAGTGTGGTCTAGAGGCAGATAGGTTTTTTTGGGAAACACATAAAATATGAAGGAGTCAGCTAGGAGTCGGTGGTGTTACTCAGGGTTACTTGCATGGTGCCTCATGAAGAATGGAGTCACGATTTGAGGAGGCACTTAGGAGCACCTGTGAGACTCCTCAGTGTAGTGGTTTGAAAGAAAACGGCCCCCAAAGGGAGTGGCACTATTAGGAAGTGTAACCTTGTTGCAGTGGGCGTGGCCTTGTTAGAGGAAGTGTGTCATGTGGAGGCAGGCTTTGAGGTCTCATCTATGCTCAACCATGCCCAGTGACACAGACCACTTCCTGTTGTCTGTGAGTCAAGATGTAAGAACTCTCAGCTCCCTCTCCAGCATCATGCCCGCCTGCATGCCACCGTATTCCCAGATGCCATGCTCCCCGCCATGACAGTAATGGATTAAACCTCTGAACTATAAGTGAGTTACTTCAATTAAATGTTTTCCTTTATAAGAGTTGTTGTGGTTATGATGTCTCTTCATAGCAATAGAAACTCTAACTAAGATCCTCGGGAAGTTGGGTAAGGTGGGTATAATATCAAGGGGGTAGCAAGAGTTATATGGAGGACTCACTCAAGGCCATATACAGACATCACTCACTATGTTGAGGTCAGTTAGGATTTGATGGGATTGCTCAGGGTATTGGGGGGGTTGCTTGGTGTCCCTTAAGATGCAAGGAGTCACCTCAGGCTACCTGACTGGGGTATGGATAAGTTCAGATATATTGCTCAGGCTATGCGATCATCAGAGTCACCTCAGGTCATCTGTCAGGCTGTGTCATTCAGCCTGTGAGGGGGCATCGTGTAGATGGATCAGTATGTGCTGGGACTTGGTCTTCATGTCACTCAGGGTTTCCCATGTTGGGGACTTTGATCCATGAAAAGGCTGAGAAAGGTGACACTCACATTTTCCAGGTGCATCATCCATAGGGGGCGCTGAGTAGCGATGGTAGGTTGTGTTCCAACGCAGGGCTGGAGCCCTTGGATCATGCATAGAGACTGTGTACTCTGTGAGTCAGAAAAAGGGTCACCAGGAATATAGTCATACGGTGCTTTCCCAACCCGACTCCAGAGACTCTTGTAGGACTGGAGACTTCCCAAGCTTGCAAATTGGAGGCCTAATGATCAAGCTTATCATTCATTATACCTCTAGCTCCTTGGTCAGTGCTCAGTAAAATGTGTATTGATGATTGTCAGATTAACTGAACTCCACTAGGATAGCAACTGTCAGGCCTGGGCAAAAAATGAGGGGGTTTCACAGAGCATAGGGAACAACTGACTTACGTGTCCGGCCGATGTAGAGTTGAGGGGTAGAAAGGCCTTCTGTGCTCAGTGTCATCTGAGTCTCACCTGACTCAGGGTCCACCGCAAACCATGTGTCCTGCTTCCGGCCTGTAGAGGATGGAAGTGAGCCATCTCTCAAGATGATGTAAGTGAGGGTGTGTGCACCCCTTTTTCCCTGACCAAGGTCCCCATTCCTACTGGCTGGATTTGGCCCCCACAGGCTGCAGAGATACTCACCTGTGTAGAAGACCCCATCAGAGCTGCGGCAGGGAGAGGCATGAACCAGCTCTGGGATGGTGAATGGCAATTTCTGAGAGGGAAAGGGTCCAAGAAGGGATAAGTGCAGAAACAGGCAGAGCACATGCTGTGTGTCTCTCCTAGGATCAACCCAGAGAAACCTTTCACTGGACACCTTGCCCTTTCCATTTCCCAGGAGAGGACACTGAAGCTTGGAGAGGTTCAGTAACTTAGCTCATGCCACTTAGGTAGGCCAGCCTCAGAGCCAGCATCCTTAGTCACTGTGCTATAGAGCCTCTTGAAGAACTGCAGAAAATCCCACACTGGGTGCCAGGGTACCACATGATCCCCTTGATTCCATCTGATGACCTTCTCCAAATAAACACACACACACACCACATAGACACACACACCACAGAGACACCCCCTCTCACACACACACACACCACAGAGACACACACACATCCACATAGACACCCCCTCTCACACACACACACACACACCACAGAGACACACACACATCCACATAGACACCCCTCTCACACACACACACACACACACCACAGAGACACACACACATCCACATAGACACCCCCTCTCACACACACACACACACACCACAGAGACACACACACATCCACATAGACACCCCCTCTCACACACACACACACACACCACAGAGACACACACACATCCACATAGACACCCCCTCTCACACACACACACACACCACAGAGACACACACACATCCACATAGACACCCCCTCTCACACACACACACACACCACAGAGACACACACACATCCACATAGACACCCCCTCTCACACACACACACACACACCACAGAGACACACACACATCCACATAGACACCCCCTCTCACACACACACAGGCTTTAAAACTCAGTGATCACAAAAGACAGCGAGATTGAAGAGCTATTTGGATTCAGTGTTGGTGGTGAGTGGGGGCTACTCTCTACCCTCCCTTGGTGTGCTCTCTCTCTCTCTCTCTCTCTCTCTCTCTCTCTCTCTCTCTCTCTCTCTCTCTCACACACACACACACACACACAGCAGGAATCAGATCCCAGTCTGTGTTATGTGAGTGAGTGCCTTGTATTCAGGCTTCTTATGGGTTTTAACAAGGGGCACAGAGTGAGGTGAGCATATTTATACTAACCACCAACCTTCAAAAACAGTCATTCAGCTGACACACAGACATGAGCAAACTCAGTCCAGAGTAACAGAACTACCCAGCCTAATTCTGAGGTTTTTGGGTTTTAAGACTTTGAAATCATGGGTGATACATTATTTAGCAAAAGCTAACCAATACAGTTTTCACCTTAATGCCCTCAGAGTCCTGGAGATGCCCCTGAGACTCTGCACACAACCAGGCTCTCCCCATATTAGCTGATAGCCTTTCATAGTGCTCAGAGCCCTGACTTACAGCTTCAAAGGACACCCCACTCTGACACACTGTCCCTTCACTCATTGGTGCTCTGGCTGATGGAATCCTGCCCACACCCATCCCAGGCAATGAGGGGAAACAGACCATCAGCCCCTGTTGTTTCTGGGTTCCCAAAATGTACAGGCTGCCGTCAGCTGGGTCAGAGAGAAAGGCCATTCTGTGGAGCAGAGAGGGACATGGGGAAGTCTAGGTGCGTAGCCCTGGTTTCATGAACGTCTTATCCCTCCACCTTCTCAGTTAGCAGAGCCCATCCTTGTGGGAGACACCTTGGAGCAGTAGGAGTCCTTTCCATACCATATAAGACTAATTTTCTCCCATAAAACCCTCACATGTGCCTCCCCAAGCCCCTCACACAACTATGACTCCCCCAGCCTCTCCTTAAGAGGCCCCAGTTCACTTACTCTGTGACGTACATTGGTCCTTGGATGATGGGATCTGCAGGGACAAAGACATAGAGCCTGAGTCTCCTTTTGACTCTATTGAAAAGCATAGCTAAAGCCATAGCATTTACCCTGTGCCAGATGCAGAGCCCAGAAGGCGGCAAGATCTCTATGGGTAGTCTCTGTCATGCTGCTTTGCCCCAGTTTGTAGGCAAAGCCATTGAGGTTCAGAGAGCTGAAGTGATTTTCCCAAGTCCACACAGTTGGTAAGTGGTGAAGCTGCCTATGTTCACTGGCTTGCTGGACCCTAGTGTCTGTGTGTGTACATGCATGTGTGCATGCGGTGGTGTGTATGTGTGTGTGTGTGTGTGTGTGTGTATGTGAGAGAGAGAGACAGAGAGAGAGATAGATAGGGAGAGAGAGACAGAGACAGAGACTGACAGAGAGAGATTGAGAGCCGTGTCTCCTTTTCTTTGACACAGCATCTCCCACTGAATTTGAAACTTACTAAAATTTGACTAGGTTGGTCAGCCAGGAAGTCCCACAGGTCTTCCTGTCTGTGCCTTCCCAGTGTTGGGGTTCAGAAACATACTGCTGTGGTTGCTTTGTGTTGTTTGTTTGTTTATATGGGTGCTGACCATCCAACCTCAGGTCCTCATCCTTGTGTGGCAAGCTGTTGACTCACTGAGGCGTTTCCCTAGGCCTTTAGTGTTCATGTTCTTATCTTCTACGCTGAGGTGACTGCCCACTCTACCACGTGGAGACCTGAGAAAGACAAGCAGCTCTTCCTTGCTCACCATCCTTCAGTGTCCACTGCAAGTCTCCTGTTTGCTTGTTCAGTGCATGGAGACTTCCATCCAAGGTAGACACAAACAGAAGGCTCTCTGGCCTGAGGGTCTGGACCTGGGACGGAAAACAAAAATCATCTCATCTGAGGGTGCCGGGACCATCTTGCCTTTGACCCAGGCAAGAGTGACTATGACTTATCTGGTTGAGGATCAAAGACGGAAAGAAAGATGAACTCGACTGTATGGGGGTTACAGTGGGAGTTTGGGGGGCTGAGGGGACTTTGATTTCCATTTCCTCCCTTTCCTTTCCCATCCATCTGTCTTCCAAAGCAGACCAAATGTATGTGCGCACGTGTGTGTGTGTGTGTGTGTGTGTGTGTGTGTGTGTGTGTGTGTGTGTAAGGCAGAATTCAATGTCAAGTATCTTCCTTGATCACTTTCTATATTATTTATTGTTACAGGGTCTCTTACTGAACCTGAGACTCATTGATTCTGTTAGACTGGCCAGTGTGTTCCAGGGATCTGCCTGTCACCCCACTGCTAACCCTTGACTCCTGTCACCCAGGACTGGGGTGACATTCATGCCCATAGTTATCAGACTTTTGTATGGGTGCTGGTGACTCAAACTCAGGTCCTCAGGACTGAGGGGCAAGCAAAAGAGCTTCCCCAATCCATGTAGCTTCCCTCTGGGATGGGAACTATGAGTATCCTGGTTGCACAGGTCAGGGAGACTGGGCTGGAGGATGGTCAGAAATAGCGCAAATGGGGGCACAGAGTCTCCTTCAAGACATGGTTCCCTTCTCCTTAGTCACACGTGTGCCTCTTTTCAGAAGACCCTTTCTCTCTCTCTGGACTGGCTCAGCTGCTTTTGGTGCCAAGCTTTGTAGTCCCCCTAATGACGACAGAAGGGAGGGAGGCCTGGAGCTACCTTGTATCTGGCTCCTGCTGGACTCACTTGCCAGCACTGGGCCCTCCTTGAGCAAACAAGGTAAGACTGAGCTTGGAACAGGAACTCTAACATCCAGGTGGCCCAGCCGCACCCCTTAGAAGGCCACATCCTGCTTCAGGACCCTCAGGTCTGGGGTTGGGCTAGTGGTTTCCCTGGAGAATTAGGATCCTACCAGCTAGACCCTCTCTTTTGGGTCCCAGTCTTCTTGCCATCTGGAACATGACAGAGACATGGACCAGGGAAAAGGCTGCCTGCTGATTGGCTGCCTCAAAGAGAATTTTGTTTTATCTTTATAGTGCTTAAAATACTGCTTTTAATTATATTTCTGTTGTTGTTTTGTGAAACAAGGCCTCCTGATGTAGCTCTGGCGCTTGCTGTGCACAGCAGGCTGGCTTTGAACTTCTGACGATTCTCCTGCCTCTGTCTCAAAGTTATGGCATTAGAGGGATGTAATGCCTGCCAAACATTAATAGCATTTTTTATTGGAAATTTTTATTTTACTGATTGTTCTTTTGAGACAGTCTCTCTATGTAGCTCTGGCTGTGCTAGAACTCACTCTGTAGACAGGTTGGCCTTGAACTCAGAAATCTGCCTGCCTTTGCCTCCTGAGTGCTGAGATTAAAAGATGTGCACCACCATTGCCTTGCTGAAATGTTTGATTTTAAAAATCCAGATTTTCATTATCATTCTCATTTCTAGTTTTTTTTTTCAAGAAATGTCAGATCTAGACATACCAGGCTCCCATTATTATTGGCAACTGTGAATGAAATCTGTGCTGGAAGAGGGGGTGAGGGGTGGAGAAGGGGAGAGACCCCAGGCTGGGCAGAGTTAACTGATTGGCTCCCAGCAGACAGGTTGCATCAGATCTCTATACTTGAAGATAGATCATTTGTCCTGGAGGTTCTGAACCTGAGGTGGGGGAGGGGGGGTCCAGTCACACACAAAGGGAAGGAAGGGGCATCATAAGTCGCTAAAAGTTGAATCATGGTTTCACAATCAGTTTCGCAGCAGAGGACCCTAACTGGATCATACTTTTAAAGAAAGTGGGTTCTCAAATGGCTTTAGTGGCCTGAATTTACAGTTTACCGTCTCCTCCCCACAAGCCCCCTCCCCATCTCTGCGGCAGAAGAGGATGAGTTGGCACAGGTAGGCTGTGAGAGGCGTCTTCGTCTTCCCAAGTTTATGAAGAATTCACTCCCTAGGGGTCTATTTGGGTGACCTGAGCCCAAGGGAAGGAGGGAGAGGCATCCCTACTGACTAGCTACATCCCCAGTCACCTGGCCCTGCACTCACCTGTGGCCTGATCATCCCCAGCAAAGTCGCAAGCTGCAGCAGGAACCAGAAGGGAGACCACAGTGGGTACTCCCAGGCTGAACTCGCCATAGCCTGTGGGCATCACAAAGTCTCCAGCTCCCTTTACTCACTTGATTGCTCCAGGCCACAGCCGAGCTCTCTCCACGGGAGACTCCGCCCCCGCAGAGCCAGCTGGGGAAGCAGAGTCTTGGGCGAAACCTCCCTCACCCTGTGGTGGCCCCCGCCCTTCCCATTGGCACCTACACCTCACCCAATCCCTTCCACTTTGGCACTGAGACGGACTGTGGAGAATGTACCAAGGTCTGTGTGCTGACTGACTCTTTTTCTCTCTGTCTCTGTCTCTCAAGATTTACTTATTTTATTTTATGGTGTGTTTTGCTTGCATGTATCTTTCTGTGCATCACCTGCGTGCCTGGTGCCCAAGGAGGTCAGAAGATGGCGTCGGATCCCCTGGAACTGGAGTTAGGATGACTGTGGGGCTCTACCATGGAGGTGCTGGGAATCAAACCTGGGTACTATGTAAGCACATATGCCCTTAACCATCTCTCCAGACACTATGCAGATTCTTCACCCTTTCTTACCAAGGCAAGACTCAGGCTCAGAACTGGAACGAACATTCAGACATCTGACCTCAATGCTTGTGCTCTTCATTATTTTATTACTATTATTATTTATTTTATTATTTCTTCATGTGGCTGGACCCAATGAGCTGTTATGAACTATGAACTAACTGATGGAGTCACTCATTTGTCCAGCAGAGATTTCATGGCCTATTAGGCTACCCTGCTGAGCAAGACAGAGAAGTTCTTTGTCTTTGTACAACTTATAGATCATATGGTTAAGAAATCAAAGCTGGACAGGGTCAGGGGTTCAAGGTCATCTCTGGCTACATAATGAGTTTGAAGCCATCTTAGACATTACAGGAGACCCTAACTGAAAATCAAAGAAGGACAAATGAACAAAAACATAAGACGTAAAGAATGGAAGAGAATTTTGTATGGCTGTACCCATTTTAAAAGTAAGATAACTTTGTGTTGTATGAGGATTTTGCTTGCATGAGTATCATTGGCAGAAGCATCGGTGTGGAAATGGCAGTCCTGTCTGCTGCTCACTTTACCACACTCCCTTGGTCAGCTCCTCCCCATCCTCCTTATCTCCTGAACCAGTAACACTGTTGCTCCAGCCCTCCGGCTCCAGGCCACTGCACACCAAATCCCTCATATTCCTTTGCCTCCTACCTGCAGCTAGAACCCACGTACTCTCTCCACACACATTTTTACCTCCCTTCCCCAAGTTTCAGGGGACAGGTTTCTTACTCTCAGTCCCCTTTGACCTCCTCTGGACCAAATAAATAAATATGTATATATGAGATACACATATCAGGAAAAATGTAATTTTCAGGGCTATGAACATGGGTTCTTTGGTAAATGCCTGCCATGTAAGCATTTAGGATCTGAGTAGAAAATCCAGACACAGCCCAGTGCCGAGGATGCAGACAATGGATCCCTGGAGATCACTATTTTTCTCTCTCAGGGTCAATCACTGAGGTTGATGGGCAGGAGCATTCTTATTGGTCAGGCATAGGCCATGTGTCCAGTTGCCTGTGGATGGTGTTTAAAAGGGACGAAAAAGTGTATTTCTTCTTCTTCTTCTTCTTCTTCTTCTTCTTCTTCTTCTTCTTCTTCTTCTTCTTCTTCTTCTTCTTCTTCTTCTTCTTCTTCTTCCTCTTCCTCTTCCTCTTCCTCTTCCTCTTCTTCTTCTTCTTCTTCTTCTTCTTCTTCTTCTTCTTCTTCTTCTTCTTCTTCTTCTTTTGTTTTTTTGAGACGGGATTTCTTTGTATAGCCCTGGCTGTCCTGGAACTCGCTGTGTAGATCTTGAACTCAGAGATCTGCCTTTGCCTCCTGAGTGCTGGGATTACACTGGGCTCAGTTTATTTCTTCTCCTGTATCTATTTTTAGTGCTTTACGGCCAATTTCCATGGATTCTTTTTCCTTCTTTTCTTCCTCCCTCCCTTCCTTCCTTCCTCCTCCCTCCTTTCCTCCCTCCCTCCCTCCTTCCCTTCCTCCCTTCCTCCCTCCTTCCCTCTCACTCCCCCTTCCTTTTCTTTCTTTCCTTTATTTTTTTGTTTTTACATCTAACCAAAGTTTCCTCTCCCTTCTCTTCCCAGGTCCCCCTCCTCCACTCCCATCCATTCCTCCCTCTGTATCTCCCTAGAAAAGGGCGGGCCTCCGGTGGATACCAGCCAGCCTTGGCATATCAAGCTGCAGTGAGACCAGACTCCTCCTATTAAAGCTGGATGAGGTAGGAGGGAAGGATCCCCATACAGGCAGCAGAGTCAGAAACAGCACCCCTCCACCCACCCCGCCAGGAGTTCCACAAGAAGACCAAGCTACATATATGCAGAGGGCCCCTAGTTCAGTCTCTCGAAGGCTTGAGTCTAGATTAGCTGATTCTGTGGGTTTTCTTGTAGTGCCCTTGACCCCTTAAACCTTTTTTTTTTTTAATTTTGTTTTGTTTTGAGACAGGGTTTCTCTGTGTAACAGTCCTGGCTGCCCTGGAACTTGCATTGTAGACCAAGCCGGCCTCAAATTTGATTCCCGTGTGCTGGGATTAAAGGCTGTGGGCCACCACCTCTCCCAGCTCAGTGGATTCTTTGCTCTATGTGGGAAAACACATTGCTTGTGAGAGCTACCACAGCTTCAGAGGCCTGAGGTGGAGAAAAGAAAGCACCAAGGTCCAACAGATGTCAAATCATTGTGTTCCTGCCATTCTTAGTTCACTTGGTTTCAACCCTCAAGTTCACCTTTAGTCTGAACCTTCATGCCACTAGTATTAGGGTTACTATTACAGTGTTCAAACACCATGACCAAAAGCAATTTGGGGAGGAAAGGGTTTATTTAACTCACCCTTCTTGGTACCAGTCAATCACTGACGGAAGTCAGAGCGGGAGCTCAAGCAGGTCAGGAGGCTGGAAGAAGGAGCTGATGCAGAGGCCATGGAGGGATGCCGCTTCTTACTGGCTTGCTCATTATGACTTGCTCAATCTGCTTTCTTCTCTCTCTCTCTCTCTCTCTCTCTCTCTCTCTCTCTCTCTCTCTCTCTCTCTCTCTGTCTCTGTCTCTCTCTCTCTCTCCCTCCCTCCCTCCCTCCCTCCCTCCCTCCCTCCCTCTCTCTCTCTTCCTTTTTTTTTGAGACAGGGTTTCTCTGTGTAGCTCTAGCTGTCCTGGAACTAGCTCTGTAGACCAGGCTGGTTTCGAACTCACAGAGATCCGCCTGGTCTGCCTCCTGAATGCTGGGATTAAAGCATGTGCCACCACTACCTGGCTTTTTAAAATTCTTTAGTGATTTATTTATTCTTGTTTTACATTCATTTGGTGTTTTGCTTGCATGTACCTCTGTATAAGGGTGTCAGATCCTCTAGATCTAAAGTTAGAGACAGTTGTGAGCTGCCATGTGGGTGCTGGAAGTTGAACCCAGATCCTCTGCAAGAGAAGGCAGCACTCTTAACCACTGAGTCATCTCTCCAGTCCTTCAGTCTGCTTTCTTACAGCACCCAGGACCACCAACCCAGGGGCAGCACCACCCACAATGGGCTGGGCCCTCCCCCATCAATCACTAATTAAGAAAATGCCTTACAGCTGGATCTTATGGATACATTTTTCTCAATTGAGGTTCTTCCTCTCAGATGACTCTAGCCTGTGTAGAGTTGATAGAGAGTAGCCAGCAAACCACTTGACTGACATCGACTTGGCCTGAATTTTTTCTGTAATCACATGTTTCCCAGGCTCATCAGAGTCCTGAGTGACTGTTGCTGGCTGGTGTCCTGCCCCAGCTCTTCCTATGGGTTAAGGGCTCATGGGAGTCCTCGTCTTCAGAAATTACTTGCCTTGGGTCAGACGGGGCTGTGTTGCAGCCCTGCATGTGTGTGAATAGCATAAGAGTACAGAAAGTGTGTCCTTAGTTACAAAGTGAACCTTGTCACAAAGAGGTCCTGAGCTGGGATGGTGTCACTAGGTCTTCCTCAGGACCTCTAGAGAGTTCTTTTCTACCCACCTCTAGAGAGTCCTTCCCTATGTGTCATTAGAACATGGATTCCTGACTCAGGCTCTGCTTTTTCAGATTGAGTCAAGATGCCTTGTAATCACAGATAACCTGACTGCCCCACAACATGAGACCTCTTGAGAAAATGTGCACATTGAGATTCCAGAGCCTGATAAGGTGGACTACAGCTTATGACAACCTGCTACATATTTTATGAAGAACTATGAGGAAGGAAGGAGCTCAAAGTGCTGAACATGAAAAATGAGGAAACAGATACCATGCTGGTTTAGACATACATTACATATGTGTATGGGAACACTGGCTGTGGGGCTGGAGAGAAGGTTCAGAGGTTGAGAGCTCTTGCAGAGGACCTAGGCTCCATTCCCAACACCCACATGCGGGCTCATAATGGCCTGTACTTCAGTTCCAGGGATCCGGTACCCTTTTCTGGCCTTTGCTGGTACTGCATGCTGGGGGGGGGAACCTAAAAAAATAGCTGCCCAGGCCCAGACCCAGGGTTATCACTTGGCCCTCCCCAACATCCATCCTATCTATGATCTGCTTGAGGACATTAAGGAACCTGACCCGCAGACCCAGAGCTGCAGGATCTCCACAACACAGGGGACCAGCGGGATGTCTACGAAGAGACCTGGGTAGGGGTCGGGGTGGGGTGAGGGCAGTGCATCTAATGTGTAGTGGAGACTAGGGGCTCTGAACCAGACCAATGACTCTTTGCAATGAACACTTGAAGTAGAGATGTATGGAACAAGGACATATGGCATGACTTGTTGGGTTGCACTGCAGCTTCCATAATGAGTTTTTAAATCCCCTCTTTTTATTTTTCTCATTTTATTTTCTTAATTTGTTCTCTTGAATTTTGTTTTATGGGGGGACGGGGTGGAATGCAAAGGGACAGGGAATGGGATCAAGATACGTGATGTGGAAAACACATAGAATAAATAAATTTTATTTAAAAAGTACTCCCTTGGGTGTTGTTTTGTTGCCTTGTGCTGAGCAGTGCCCATCCCCTCAATCCACCCAGGAGTTTAACTTCATCACAAAAGCAATTTGTCATCTTAGGAACTAAACCAAGCTATGTA